TTGTTTGTGTTCGTGGTTGTTTGTGTGTGTGTGAGTGTGTGGGTGTGGGTTGTTGAGAGTGGGTGATAGAGACCGCGCCTGAGAGAGAGAGAGAGAGAGGTGGGGGAGGGGCAAAGAAAGGAGGAGAAGAAGACGTACCCCAAATCGCCCTCTCCTCAGCAGTAGCATACATCCACGTCCCACACCCCACCTCTACATCCTCCCTCTTCGCCCCAGCCTTCAATGCCCACCCCAGCGTCCGTGGTCCCGCCGTCGTCTGGCCCTTGGCCGCTTCATGAACGGCTATGTGGCACCGATGGAACTTCTCTATCCCTGGCAGACGAGGGTGGTAGGACCAAGCCGTCAAATCGGACTCGCGGTTCGCCACTACGCCCCCGGGAGTGGTGACACGCAGCATTTCCTTATAAGCGGCCACGGGGTCCGAGAGGTGGGAGAGTACCATGCTCGCGTGGACGATATCGAACGCTCCATCCTCGAACGGCAGAGCGTAAATATCAGCAGTCTGGAAATGGATCTTCGATTCTACACCAGCTTTCTCAGCGAAGGCCTGGGCTTTGATGAGGATCTCGGGGGAGATGTCGGTGGCGGTTATTTTCCCTTCGGCCGGGAGGTAGGAGGCTAGGGAGGTTGTGATGGTGCTGGAGCCGCAGCCGATGTCCAGGAGGTTGAGGTTGGGGGTTGTGGCGGCTTTCTGTTGGAGGACGGGGAGGAGGTAGGCGGCGCTGTTGGTGGCGGTGCGCCATTCGTGGTGGCGGACTTGGGTGTAGCCTGGGATGTATTGCTCCTTGGAGCCGTAGGTTGTGGCTTTGGTTGGGGTTGCCATGGTTTATGCTAGATCCTGGGAATTAGGGTAGTTGGGTTCCTTGGTTGAAGTGACTTTGAGGATTGTGGATTCTTTGGAGAACTGTGACAGTTCGGACGACCTACATGTTGCATATACTTCTATCGGTGACTCATGACGATGTCGCTGCGACGGGCTTTCCATTCGTGGTGGCGTTGCTTGAAGCCATTGGATTCTAGTTGAGGTCTTCGTTTGTTACGTCCGCTATAACGCCATGCCAAGACTCCGATCTCGCCACTGTTCGAACTTCCCATTTCACCTCTCACGTACCTTGCGATACTGACTCTGTGATATAAAGGTATTGAGAGTGTAAGTGGTAAGTGTATGACAATGGTGGGGTGGGCTGGCTGAATCAAGCCAAGGCGTGTATACTGTGGCATGCAGTTCTGCCGCAAACACACACAATACACATACTCTCCACTCGACCATGGTCTTTACCTCCTACAAGCTCATCGACTTCATGAACAGGCGCAGTGTAGTCCACAGGCTGACCCTCAAACCCAAAGTATTTTCCAAGGTGAACGTCCCGTTGTTCGGTATATGTCCGGAACCAAAAGACTTTATGTGGGCAATTTGCCATACGTGGCACAGAAAGCAGACGTAGCAGCTTTCTTTGCAAAGCACAATGTGGAGGTGTAAGTGGCCACCAATATCAGACCCTTCATCTGATACCAACCTCTGCAGGAGGCGATGGTCCTGGGCCACAGTATACTGACCAACCACAAACAGCCTCAACATCGACATCTCCATCGACTCCTTCACCGGCCGCAACCCATCCTACTGCTTCGTCGACTTCACCACGGAAGCAGCAGCCGAAACAGCAAGACAAACCCTCCAAGGCCAACTCATTCGCGGCCGCCCCATCAAAGTCAACATCGACACCGGCAACCGCCAAGCCCCACGTGGTCCACGAACCGAAGGCGCCCCCTTGCCACCAGACAACCGCTACGTCTATGACCGCTGGACTCGCAACGATGCCCCAGACCACTGGCTCGGACCCCAAACCGAAGGCCGCCGGGTCTGGGTCGGCGGCCTACCTATCATGCGTACGCAGCTGGAAACCCATGAGATGATGCGGGGGTTGTTTTCCGGGTGAGAGATCGAGGCGGTGAGCAAAGTGAATGTGCGGGAGCATGGGGATGGGAGTGGGGGTGGAGGTGGGAATAGGTCGAGGCATTGTTTTGTCGATTTCGCTTCTAAGGCGCAGGCGGAGGAGGCGGTGAAGGTGGTCAGTGAGAGGATGGTGAGGGGTGGTGGGGGTGGGTATCGGGTTAGGATTGTGAGGAGCCGGAACGGCCGACGAAGGTTATGAGGGAGCAGTTGGCTGTTCATGGGAAGGGTCAGGAGGTGAAGGCTACGGTGCAGCGGAATTTGGCCGGATCGTGGCGACGGCAGGACTAATAATAATAAGCATATTTGGTACAGTGAGGTCTCAATTCGTGGTGTTCATGAGATTTTCCCGCCTACTGGAACGTTGTCGTAGTCTACTCAGGTACTTCCTAAGAATGTCGGCTTATATCGCGCCCCTCATTATCTCTCTCCTCCCCACTGAGCCGGCATAGTCGTCGCCAAGAGCGTTCCCTATGTTTCAGCGCGTCCTAGGCGTAGGCTCCCTCCCCCTGTCCGGCACCCTCTCCCTCATCCGCCTGACAGCCGCACAAGCATCGCATTCACGACTGACACGCTGTGCACCATTGGGTATACCCACGCCTGAACAATAGGTCTGGCGGCAGGGCCGGATGACGTTCGTGTTGGTGTGGCCGCAGCCGTAGATCGTTTGGGTGCCTTGGCACATGGTGCGACTTGTGTGGGTAAGGGATAGATTGGAGTGAGGTAGTCTGGACTGGTTGGAGATGCTGTGGTTTGTGGATGGAGTTTCAGGTTTGTGTGTCGAGTTCTGGTTATGGGCACTACTCGAGGGGGTCCGGACAGGAAATGGTGCTTGCGTAGGCGACAGTACCGCTGAAACTCGCTTTAATATGATGCTGCCGTTCGTTGCATCGTGAATGCTGTCTTGTGAATATATGCAGTGACTGTTGACTCGCCTCTCAGGACAGACACATAGTGACCCAATCTTGTCACACCGCCGGGCCACGGAGACATGATTGCCTGAGTGCCTGCTCGACAGCATGGCAGTATGGACAGTCATGTAGAATCCGTCCTGAGCGTATTAATATCTGAGAACTTTTCGGATTATTACCGGTCTCGTAGGTCTGCCACCAGAGGTATCATGCTGCTTCACACGAGCTGGACGTTGCGAGATACTACCATGTTGAGTCAAGGTCATAGGGTCGGAGGGAAAGAGATCTCTCTCCATCTGTTCAAGCCAGGCTGCATCTTGGTGATTCTGTTGTTGGGCCAGCTGCAGAGCGCGAGCGAAAGCATGGCGCAAGCCCCGCCATTGTGGTGTGCTTTGGGCAGGCAGTATGTTTCGACGCATGTTCGTGGGTGTCTCGTCCAGGATTGTCCGGAAGTAAGCAATGGCAAGCGATGGATCGGGTTTCGTCGGATGTGCCATGTGCAAACGTCCCACACCGAAGTCACCCCAATCGAGTTCACCGCGCCTTCCTGCTGTCTCTTCTAGACGTTGAAATACAGCCGTGAATTCTTCAAACAACTTGGCATCAGTTCCAAAGGCGTCGCAGCTGGTGAGACGCCCTTTTAGCTCTATCGCAGCAGGCCAAGTCGACAAGGCCAGCAAGGGGTATCGCTTTGATGCGACCTCGTAGGCGTCGGCCGCTACCTGCTCCCATGTAAGGCAGCAACGCTCCCTCATATGTAGGAAGAATCCGATCGCCGAATCTGCAGAGCGATCAAGCGCGGTCGAATGGAGGGCACGAATGTAACTCCTCATCAATGAACCTCGCCAGGCCCTTGTTCGCATAGCACTCAGGCTTATGCCGATCTCGGCTTGATCTGGCATGGCAATCTCGAGCCATTGGGTGATCAGATCATCGTGGCCCTCAGCGGCGGCGAGAAATGTCAAGCTATCCTTTGCACGAAAATCCTGGAGGAAAGCTAGCCAGCGTTCGTTCCGCGTCCAGAGGTAGTGAAGAACTTCCCGCACGATAGGCTTCTCTCTAGCGAGGCTCGCGCGGTCATTGCGATTCGATCGGAAGAGCAGTGAGAACGCCGCTCGCATATGATATCTGATAGTTTCCAGCGGCACATCACCATCGGCCAGCTTCTGGCGTAGCAAATCCGCCGGATGCTCAATCCTAGCATGGTCTATCAGGGCTCGGACATTGACGTCCGTGTCATCGCCAGTGTGTGGCTTCAACGGCGATGCAAGATTGGCCATCCCGAAGCCATCAGATTTTCTCTGTTGTGAGAGCCAGGCAAATATCCCGAAGAATGCACGCCAGCAGTGTTGGCCGAGGTGGAGTAGTAAGAGGTTGTGCGAGACAGTCCACAGTACACGGCAGTCCCACGGACTCGGTCGAGGGCGCAGACATTTCGGCCAGTCAGCGAGAGTAGCCCCGAAAGCCTGGTGACAGATCCAAACGGTGCGCGAAGGACATGTCTCGTAACAGGCATCATTGTTGTCTCCGCGTTGTATGTGTTGCTTGAAGTGGCACGTTGAACTCTATTTTGTGGCGGGATAGCGGTGCGCACGAATGCGGCCGCAAATGCCGCACACACTTCACCACATCTTCCTCGCGTACCCTCGTTCGCGATCTTGACCGAGGGCTGCATGACGAAGTGACCATGCCCAAGCAGTGAGGCTACATCAAGAAAGCATAGACTTATCACTATATCGTCTCGCTGCATCAACGACAAGCTGGCACGTCATGGCAGAAGCGTTCGGCGTCGCAGCCAGCGCCATTCAGGTTGCGGACGCAGGCTTCAAGCTCTACGGAGCCTTGTCGAAATATGTCACTGACTACATCGACGCCAACAAGCATGCCCGTCGTCTTGTAGACGAGGTCAGGATGACCTCATGGGCTTTGCAGAAACTTGGTACACTCCTACAAGAAGACGAAGAACTTAAGCTTTGTAAGCCGGACGTCCTCGACGAGATCAGAGTAGAACTTCAAAGATGTGAGGTTGTCTTTGGCGAGGTCGAACTAGTGCTTGATGGCTTCTCGCCCGATACAGCAGGTCCTTTGGTCGGGGTGAAGCGCTGGAAATGGCCGCTAAAAAAGGACAAAGCTCTGCTGCTACTGGCACAGTTCGAGCGACTCAAGACAACACTACTGTTGGTATTTAATGTCCTATCCTATGCCAGTAAGCTTGCCTCGAAGTACGCTAGACTACAGACTTTCTAGAGCAAGAACGGGTGACTGACCAGAGCGACGTAGAGACGTACAATATCATGGCTCTTCTCTCGATGAGAAGATACAGGTCCAATACCTGGCCAAAGCCAAGCAGGAGGCTGAGTCTCTAGAACAGAAACTACGTCTGGAGACAGAGTGTGGTGCTGACAATCAGCTTGGCGCGGCTATCGGCAGGGGCCTTGTCCAGATCGACAGGATCGCGAGCGGTATCCCGAAGAGTCTCGAGCTCAGCAAAAGTGGCGATCGCCCAAATGAGCCAGCCGTCAGCGTATCTTCCGAACGAGATATCAGCAATCGTGGCACAGACATTGATAGTATAGGGACGTCCCGAGGTATAGGAGAGCAAAGCTTCTTGCTGGGAGCTGTATTCGTGCCAAAAGGAACTTCTGCGGAGCAACGCCACAACGGAGCTATTAGTCCAGAGAAGGGTTCCACCCGACCAAACAAAAGCGGTCGTGAGCAAGCGCTCCTGCAACACCTCGACTCTTGCACAGCGGCAATGATTCGTCTCAACGCAGCCGTAGACCAGGCCAAAACTCATCTCCAAGAGACGGGCTCCGTACCGATCTCAAGCATTACACGCACTTTTCGCTCCACAAAGCGGGCCTTTGACGACCTGACCAATGCTGAGCGTGATCTGGATAGTGAGGACGAAGAGCAGGCTCCCAACGCTAGTATAAAGCTTACTGCTGACGCCATCGACACAGAGACAACAGCTACACATAGTTTTGCATCAGACTTCTACTGTATGCCTGATTTTAGCCGGCCAGAGCGTCTCTCCGTGGATCGGAACAGACGCGTTGCTGCCGCTATCGCTGGAGCGGTTGATGAAGCTGAACACACGCTCGGCTCTCAACTGAAAGCTCCGAATTCGTCGCCAGCCCATGAACAGTCGCCTTCCACCGTTGCTGAAGCAGCAGACCCGTATATTCTGCATCCACTTCGACAGACTACGCCGGCTCCGACAACCACCAAGATAGCATCAAGCCAAGGTAGTGCATCGAAAAAGAGGTCCTGGAGTGCGGACTTCCGCCGCCTGAAATTGCCCGGACGACGTAAGAACGATGCCCAGCCGCAAAGTTTCCAAGCGTCCGAGCCCTTCCATGCTTCGCCAGACCCTCCGTCAAGGATGACTATCGCAGAGCTCGACGACACCTCCGTGACCAAGAAACCTGATGCATTATTTGGCTCTCCTTCTTGGCTCCATGACCCTTCCATGTCAGAGCCGTCGCGGCATGAGGACGAAGAAGAAATTGAGTACGAACCTCGTGCTTCGTATCAGCTTGGTGGCGCAAGCATAGCAAGACGGTTGAGCAGACCACGACCACGACCCGATGGTTCGAGCGCTCGATCTCCACAACGACTCACCCATTTCGATGCCGATTCAGAGAGCGATGAGGACTCTGATCCCGAGGAAGATATCATGGACAAGCTACTGCGGAAGTGGACAACGGTAGTAATCTAGACCAGTCCGGCGAAGAGCGATATTATCTCGGTCTCTCACCACAGCGCCAAGTTTACAGCTTCGCTATCAACTCCTGGCAACTCGAGCCCAGTCAATCCACAACAACCTTCCCCTCCAGCTCCCCATAATGCTCAAAGAAGGCATCAAACAGATTAACCCCATGCTCCACATCATAGCACCCCGTCGTCTCCCTGATCGAATGCATACTCAACTGCGCATTACCCACATCAATCGTCCTCAAACCCAACTTCGCACTCAACATCGGCCCGATCGTGCTTCCGCAGGGTGAGTCATTCTTCACCACGAACAGTTGCAATGGCACCCCGCCGTCCTTGGACCTGGCACCAGGCGCTTGATAGGATGCGGCTTTGGCGCGACGGGCGCATTCTTGGAGGAGGACTATACCGGGGGAATTTGTGGCGTAACGGACATTGGCGTTGACTTTTATGACGGTGCCTTCGTTCATGCGCGGGGCGTGGTTGGGTTCGTATTTGCCGCTGTAATTCGGGTTGATGGAGTGGGACATGTCTGCCGAGACGAGGAGGGAGGTCACAAGGGTTTGCTCAAAGGCGGTGGAGTTGGCGTTTTCGTCCGCGCTGACTTTGTCGTAGCTCTTTTCGGAGTCGGAGGCGGAGGAGCTGGGTCCGGTGGGGAGGCAGGATAGGCGGCGGAGGACGGCGGGGAGGAGGTTGCTGTCGGCGCCTTGGGCGGATGTGGAGCCGATTTCTTCGTGGTCGAAGCAGGCGATTAGCCGGATCGTGCTGTCGTTCTCGAGTGCGGATTTGGAGGAGACTGATTGGATGAGACCTTCGACTGTGCAGTATGTCATGCCCAAATTGTCCAGACGAGCAGAATAGATGAATTCGTCGTTCAGGCCACCAATGCAGCTAGCTTGGGTGTCGTAAAGCACGAGCTCGAAGTCCAGAATATCCTCAGGCTTGCAACCAGCTTCCTTCGCAATCAGCTCAACGAAGTAGGTATGGTGTCTTTGTGCTGGCGTCTTGAGAGGGTTGAAATCGGCCGCCTTATCTGCCTCACTCTGCTCCTTTGCCGCCTCTTCCGGAGTTTTGCCTGTCCTGTTCAACTCCGCAGATATGAGACCGGTGATCGGGATGAGCTGTGCCTCTTTGTTGAACTCGAAAGGCACGCTACCTCCGAAATGCACTGCCAGATTCGGTATCCTGCAGATCGGCTTGCTGACTCTGACTAATCTCTGTTCCATGCCGCCGTTGCTGCTCTTGACCATTACTCGTCCTGCTACACCGAGGTCGCGATCGAACCATGTGTGCCATAGTCCACCGCCGTAGGTCTCTACACCTACCTGCATGAAGCCATCTGCACTGCGCTTTGACACGGGCTTCACTCGTAGACATGGCGAGTCGGTATGTGCGCCGACCATAGCTACGGGGTTACCGGGCTTCCATTGTGAACCGATGGCGAAGGCCACGATCGTGCTGGCATTGCGGGTGAGGTAGTATTTGCCGCCTGGATGGAGGGATGGGGTCCAGTTGTCTCGTTCCTGGACACTCATCAGTCTCTGTATATTCGGCATTGTGGTATGAGTGGTCTACCTTGATCTGCTTGAAGCCCGCCTTCTCGAGTCGCTGCTTTGCGGAGTGAACGGCATGGAAGGCTGGAACGATATATTAGCGCCGTAGCCAGTTCACTCAGTATCTCAAAAGTCTTACGAGTAGGTGAAGCATTCAGGAAAGAGACAAAGTCCTCTGCTCGTTTCAAGGATGCCTTTCCTGCCATCTTGTGGTAGTGTCGACGGATGAATATGCTGCGCTGCAAGTTTGGGGTTCGGGTGCAGTGGAGCAAGCAGAATGAGATTGTCTGCTTCGAGATGGGACAAGGGTTGAGCAGGACCATAGATTTATGGTCGAAGTTGTACAAGGCAATAATAATGTCCCAGAATCAACAATAATGCTGCCCGCAATGCGTAGTCACCTTCCCAAAGAAGCGAGTGGCCCAAGCTCCACAATTCCTGTTCCTGACAGGCGTCATTCCAACACATTCTTCCTTGACAAGAAAATGAACACCTAGACACGGCCGAACATGATTCAAGTGTTACTCTTGTTACTCTCTGTAGCTATCGTGCCTTGACAAATCGCAGCCATGTCAAGGTTCTTCCGCTGGTTTCGGACCGAGCGACTCCAGAACACGGGTTCGCTCGCCCGAGATCTACTAGCAGGCGAGCGTACCTTCCTAGCCTGGACAAGGACAGGTCTCGGTTTCATAGCTCTCGGCGTCGCTCTTGAGAAGGTAGGGACGATGACTTCATTGGTCTCAAACAAGACAACGCTCACAGTAACATAGGTGGAGGCTTTCGTAGCCATCTCACCGACTTTACTTCGTCTGGAGAACAGCAACACGAAACTGGCAGCAGGTACATTAGTTGGGACTGGAAGTCTTATTGTCTTGCATGGTACTAGCCGATACTTTGGCATGCTCAAGGATCTTCAGGAAGGCTACTACCGACCGAATAGGATCGGGATCATGGGTCTGGCTATGGTCAGCGTTGGCGTAGCGTTTGCTGGAACTCTCCTTGTGCTGGAGAACGAGGCCGAGAAAGACAAGGAGAAAGCTAAGGATGATGCGGTCCGGATAGCTGCGTCCACCAAAGGACGTCCGTGAGAGGTGCGTTGCCTGGCGTCTTCGCCACTGCCTGCGAAACTAAGATCACTGTGTACGACTCAGTAGTCCAGACGATGTCATGAGCAGATCCCGGTGGTTTGCTGCCCACGATGTCTTTGTCTCAGTCACGAGATGATGTCAAGGATATCTGTTTGACATGGTCATAAGTACCAGCACTCCAGAAGTGGCAATAGTGACTACGATCGAGCTTAGGCATGCCACTATGCGTTGCAGACCTTATAGAAAGACTCGATGTCGCCGCCACAAACCATTCATCGAGCATGGCATCAGTATTTGAGACCATCTCGATCCCGGTACCAGACTTCACGCGGCACTCTCCACCAATCCGCTCTTCCACATCCTCGCCACCATCGATACTTTCCGGAGCATCCTCGCCTGCGATCCGGCGCTCTTCACGCCTACGCGACACCACCATATTCTCTCCTCCAGCCGGAGTGCTCACCGAAGCTGAGATCGACGCCGCACCCATGTGCGGAACACACAAGGAGATGGCTCTAATCCACTACCACCGCCTTCTCAACATCATCGCCCAGGACGATCCTAATGTGGTCCCACCATATACTTCTCAAGCCGTCGCTCGTGTCCAGCTCGCACGCATGACCGTCGTCCTCCGCAGCACCATCAGTCACTTCCGGAACCATCCCGGCAAGGACGCCGAGATCCGCACTGAGCCTCCTGCACCAATCCACAGCCGATCTGATGGCCGAAGACTCTACCAAGATCCCCTCGACGTCCTCAACGATCGAGACCAGCGCATCGAATCCCTCATCCACGACCTCATAGACGCTAGCTTCCACATTCCAGGCGCAAAGAGCAATCTCTGCTCCGATCCGCTGGCGCCGGGTCATGATGACACGACGGCGCCTTTGGTTCAGGAGAGCTGTGCGGGCGGTGTTGATGACTTTGCTGAGATGTGGAGTATTCCGGAGATGATGCTTGGTGCGAAGCCGCTGCCTGACCATTCGTCTGTCTATAATATTGGTGCTGAGGTGGATGTTGGAGTGATTTATCGGCGTGGGAAGACGGAGAGTAATGTTCTGTACCATGCCAAGGTACTGGTATCGCGAGTAGATCCAGGTACACTGGAGCGAGCGCGATCTGAGATGGAGCTTCAGAGGTGCCGGACTGCGAGAGTCTCTGTTGGTTGGCCGCCGAGTGGGAGATCTAGAGCTGTTAGCCTGAGGATTGGGGATCTTGAGCTACCCACATGAAAAGGCAGGCGAACGATGATCTGACGGAGGTGACTCAGGGCCAAGGAGTGTTGCTATCAGCGCATCTGCGTTCGATTCACTGTTGACAAGCAAATGAGTCATGGTGGAAGATATGTACGCTGTCACATGTCGCAGGTGTCAATCATTGCTGTCGGTCAAGTGAGGGCTCGATAAGTACTCCAACTTCTAGTACCAAACCTGCTCTTCCACAAACTCATAGTTATGATCACTCTTACCCTCGTAAAACTACTCCCACGACTCACCAAGCCCCATCCTCGACACCCAGCCATCATGCCTCCAACCACGCGCGACGGCCTCATGAAGATGCTGCATGCACATACTGGCCGGGGACGAGCGGTGGGTCTCCACTCCATACGTGCAGGGGTCTTGAGTGCGAATCACTGACATTCTCTAGGTCGCAAAAGCCGGCTCTGCCTTCTCCACCATGGGCAAGAACAATAGGGCAGCACGCTGTGGTCGTAAGAGAGCTTTTGAGGATGAAGAGTATGCGGGAGATGAAGATGCGGAAGGTGACCCTGAGTACGAGTATGACGAGGACGACTATCCTCCGCGAAAGCCACCAGCACCGAAGCCGTCGAAGAAGAAAAAGGTATGTGGGTGCTCCTGACACAACCGCGTCCGTCGACTGACAAGGTCCTTAGCCGAACTCGAAGCCCAAGCCCGAAGCAAAAAAGCCACCACCACCCAAGCAGCCTATCATCGAATCCTGGCATCCAGCAGGCGGCGAACAGCCCAGCCCCAAAAGTAACAAAAATCCAGCACCAGATCCAACAGCTATCCTCGGCATCGCACGTGTATCGACTTGGCGGCTGCAGTTCTTCAAGCCCGCTATTGATGATCTGATCCGGCAGCATGCCGAGTATGAGAAAATGGTGACGAATACAATGGTGCATGGTGGTGAGAGTCTGACTGATGTTTATGTGTATTTTCCTAGTGCGAATGCGGCGGCGAAGGTCAAGGAGGCGGTTGATAGGGAGGTGGTTGCAGGGAGGAAGTTGCAGGTCATATATGTCTAGACACCGAAACCGGCATATTTTCTCTAGATTCGGCTGTCTCCTTATATATACACAGACGGAAGATCTTGCTACTCATCTAAGGAACCGACTCGTTATCCACAGCCAACACCAACGGCGTCTCCTGCGGCAACGCATCCAACTTTTCCAGATCACCCTTCCCCAGCTCAAACCCAAAAACATCCGCATTCTGCGCTATTCGTCCCGGATTATCACTCTTCGGTAACGGCGACCAGCCCTTCTCAATACAATACCGCACCAACACCTGCGCAGTCGTCTTGCCATGCTTCTTTGCCACCTCGTTCAAAGTCGCATCGTCCTTCTTCTGATTCCGGACGAGAGGACAGTAGGCTTCGACCACGATATCGTTCTTCTTGCAGTACTCCACTACTTCTCTTTGTTGGAGCCAAGGATGCAGTTCGAGCTGGTTCACAGCCGGTGGCCATACTTTGGCGTACTTCTTCATGTCCTCGATATGTCCGATGCCGTAGTTGCTCACGCCGATGTTCTTGAATTTGCCTTCGGCGTGCAGTCTCTCCATCGCTAGCCACATCTTTTTCCTTGGCTCGGCTCCAACGGCTGCGTTGTGGATGAGCATCAGGTCGAGGTAGCCGTCGTCTCCTGCGATGTCTTTGACGCTACCTAGGCATTTTTCGTATGTTGCGTCGACATCTGCTCCGGCCTCCCAGATCTTGGAGGTGATCCAGACGTCTTTTCGGTCGAGGCCGGATTGCTTAAGTGCTTGGCCGACTTCTTTCTCGTTGCTATATCCTTGGGCGGTATCGATATGTCTGTACCCGACTTTGAACGCCTCGAGGCATGATTTGGTCGTGAGATCCTTGGGACTGTCCCAGACGCCGAAGCCGAGGACAGGTAGCTTGTCGCCACTGCGGAGCGTGAGTGTCGCAGAAGCCATAATTGAGATGTGTGTAACGAAGCATACTGTAGCAATTTCTCGAAACATATACAGTATCTCATGACTGCCGTCTTCGGTTAGTGGGGCGCGATCCAATGCCCCTCATGACGCAACCATACACATGGAAATCAGCCTGTACCTGAACGTAAAAACTTTCTGGTCCCAGCTCAGATCTGCCAGCCGTGCCGACGATATGGTGCTCGAAGCAATACGTTATCAGCCAAGGAGTCTTGAGATCCTCAATCAGCTGAAGTTGCCACACCAGACCGCGTACGACGAGGTCAAGGACAGCAAAGATGGCTGGCATGCAATCAAGGATATGCGGACACGTGGTGCACCTGCTATTGCTATAGTCGCCGCCCTGTCACTGGCCGTGGAACTGCAAAATAACAGGGTCTCTGAGAATGCTGAAGAAGTCGGGGCTTTCATCGTGGAGAAGCTGGACTATCTAGTCACCAGTCGACCCACTGCTGTTAACCTGGCTGATGCAGCAAGAAAGCTGAAGAAGATTGTTGAGACGGCTTCCAAGTCAAGTGACAACAATGGGCAGGCTGTCGTCAAGGCATACTGTGATGCCGCTGCCCAGATGCTGATCAGTGATGTATCTGACAACCAAGGCATCGGCAAGTACGGCGCTGAGTGGATCGAAAAGCAGGCCGGAGGAGGACAGGTCAGTGTGCTCACGCACTGCAATACCGGGTGAGCTCGAACATCACTCTACCCAAATCTATCGTCCTGATATTCGCAGCTCCCTCGCCACCGCAGGCTACGGCACAGCACTAGGCGTCATCCGCTCCCTTCACGCCAACGGCAAGCTAAAGCAAGCCTTCTGTACCGAGACCAGACCATACAATCAAGGTTCACGCCTCACCGCCTTCGAACTCGTCCACGACAACATCCCCGCAACACTAATCACGGACTCCATGGCCTCGGCACTACTGCGACTAAAAGGTCCTTCGGAGCACATAGCAGCGATAGTCGTGGGCGCCGACCGCGTGGCCGCCAACGGCGATACGGCAAATAAAATCGGGACCTACCAGCTGGCCATAACAGCCAAGCACCACGGCGTCAAATTCCTCGTCGCGGCACCTCGAACTACAATCGATCTGCAAACCCGATCCGGCGAGGACATCACCATCGAGGAACGACCGGGCAAAGAAATGACATTCATCAAAGGCCCGCGCTTCGACGGCGTGGACGTTGACCTGAGCCATTCAGAGACCGTGAGCATCGCGGCGAAGGGCATTGATGTCTGGAATCCTTCTTTCGACGTCACGCCCGCTGAGCTGATCGATGGCATTATCACGGAGATTGGAGTGGTGGAGAAGGGTAAAGATGGGAAGTTCGATTTGACTATGGCGATGGAGGCGCATAATGAGAGTGTTAAGCCGAGTACGGTGGGTGGGTTGTGATTTTGAGTTTGGATAGAGAGATGGATAGATACCCGGTGCAGCCTCAACTACTGTAGATCATGAGGATAGGTGAGATTACCCTGCGCGTAACAATTGTCGGACTGAAGCTGCGTCCGCATTCGTGGAAGTACTACCGTCCACAGTCTGCTGTCCCAATACCATCTGATACACAGCCAGAGCCACCGTATGCAGGGATGGGTATGAAAGAGCCCCAGTTGAGGTGGCTGGGAGAGCGCACACTGAATGCCGGCCCAGTCTCATGCGGTAGAAGGAGACGTTGCTGTGGACTACGATAGACAAGGCTCCATGGAGCGATTTCCACCATCTCCTCGCAGAAGCACCGCAAAAGGCTGGTATCCTGTGTTCGTAGTGGGGATCTATCTGTGGTGTCTTTGTTCCCTGTTCGATTGGGCTTCATAACGGCCAGGACTGGCTCCCATACCACGCCTTTGCACGTAGCCATGTCTGGTAGATCCGAGTCAATCACGAGGGCTCTACGCTATTTGGCCGTAGAGGGCGGCCGAAGTTGGAAAGAGGGCTGCTGGTGGATGTTCGCGGGATTGATTCGGTGGTGGCGAGAGGGCGTACCTTAGCTAGCATCGTTGGCTGGATCGAAAGCTCGTGGTGACTGTGAGTCGGAGGGGATCCACGCCAGTGTCCTCCCAGAACGGCCTTCGCCAATCTGGTGCAGTATGAGGGATCTGGGCTCCGAGCTGCTGGCGCTCGCCACTCCTGCCTCGTCAATCCTAAACCTTCCGTGTACCTCGGCGTCTCCATCATGTCACGCAGGGCAGCAGCATGTCTGCCATGAGCCCGATCCGCGCGACGTGGCATCTTGTGCTGGCTTTCATGTCTTCCCATCAGCCTCACTGCCAGCGTGCTCAGTCCTGCTTCCGCCTTCCTTCTCACGCTGAGCTCTCATCTTCTCTACATCCTCCTGGTCTTTTTCTGCCTGTGCAAGTAGTGCTTCTATCTTGGCCTCCATAGTGCTCAATTGACTTTCCAGTGCAGCAGCGGTTCTTTCACCTTTGGCGAGCTCCTGAAATGCCTATGGTTCTATGTCAGAAATTACACGGCTTGAGGTTGTGCAACATGATCTACCTTTGCCAGATCGGCATCGTCTGCACCATCAGAGGATGCTTTAGGCTCATTCGGTGCCATTTTTTAAGAGTGTTTATCGTGCAAGGGACAGCATCGTAAGTGAAGTCGTTCATGCAAGTCGAGCTCGTGCAATGCTTGGCAAAAGACGGAACGGAGTCGGAACCATCACGATTCCGTCCGTCGGACCTTGATACAGTAGATGCCGGTGACGATGAGATAATCACGAACCGACTACCGTCGCGACGAGGTGTTTCACTCGATCTTGATTTATCATCTTAGGACTCTTGCCTTGCTTCGTATAAGAGACAATGGCATCAGAGACCTCGACAATGGCGACATCACCAGATCGAGCAGTTGCGGCTGCCTTCTCCATGCAGATCATCCTCCTAGGCACGATGAGACGACAGACGCATAAGCAGATCGATATACTCCCTCCGCCGTCCTCCGCACGACTGCATGAGTCGCTCGACGAGACACCATTCGATCTCCATGAGTACCTAGCTCAGCCCGAGAAGCAGCGCGGAACAGTTTTGTACCTGGCTTATGGATCCAACCTGTCCAATGAGACCTTCAGAGGCAAGCGTGGCATCAAGCCGTTGTCGCAGATCAATGTCCAGGTACCTTCGCTACGGATGACCTTTGATCTACCTGGTCTACCCTACGCCGAACCATGCTTCGCGAACAGTGGTACCCGCGACCCCGAAAACGACCCACCGAGAACACTTTCGCAAACAGCAAGCAGTAGCGAGAAGTCACCTTTGCTTGGCGTCGGGGAGCAGGCGAGCGGGCAGGGATACCACAAGGACTCATGGCACAAGGGCTTGATCGGCGTGGTATACGAATGTACACCCGAGGACTATGCACACATCATCGCAACCGAAGGAGGAGGGGCTTCATACCACGATGTTCTGGTCGAATGCCACCCTTTCGCCTCTGCCGATCCAGCTACGCCAGTACTGCAAGATCCCACAACTCCACCTTTCAAAGCACATACCCTTTTCGCACCTGCCACATCACCAGGCGATGTGCCGAAGCAAGGTGGAAGAGTACAACGACCGGATATGAGCTATGCTCAGCCTTCAGCCCGGTACCTCAAGTTGATCACAGATGGAGCCGACGAGCTCGGCCTTCCGTATGAGTATCGAGATTATCTGCACGCCATACATCCATACACCATCACGTCAGCGAAGCAGCGCATGGGCTCTTTCATCTTTCTCGCTATCTGGGCTCCAATTATCATGTTTATCTTTACAGCTGGGAAGATGTTCCAGGACGAAAAGGGACGATCGCCGCCTTGGTGGGTACAATTGGTTGGAGCGATATTTAGGGCTGTGTGGGGGAGTTATGATGGGTTCTTTGAGCCGTTGTTTGGGGATGGGGAGAGGTCTATACCGGATGGTGGCGATGATGCGAGAGACGATACGAAGTCACGGGGAGAGAGAAGGAGGGGTGGGATGCTTGGTTTGAGCCAAGAGGTAGATCCGGAGAAGGCGCGATTGGTGGATGTACGATAATGTAAGTCGAATGAGAGAATATGATACATGCACGAACTGCAATTGCCTCGCCCTGTTCCCTTTCATGCTCGCATGTCTGGCAGCACTACACTCATTGTATGCCGTCAGCCCGCACGCTGCCAGCTCATAGGCGAAAGGCCATTGGACTCCCTCCATGGTGCTATCTTCCCCAACATTGATCGTACCCCTCACTACCCGACATATTACACCAACGGCCAAGTACTCGTGTCTAGGGCGTTGCTCAGGACTGTAGATGAGCATAGAAGAAGGACGAAGTCAGGTGATCACGCGCTTAGCGCGACTTTCAGGCTTCATCCGACGTCACATCACTCCACGACTCCACCATCCTCTCCTCACCATCTTCAACACGAAAAGATATGGAGAAGAACAACACCGATGGCGCCAATCATACAGAGTTACGAATCTCAAGATCTCATCAATGTTAGTCAAGATGCGCGGACTTCTCCTGCTAGCCAGGGGAGCGTGGTAGAGGACTCGTTGGGTGTGGCGACGAGGGGCGGTCCGGCACAGCATGTGGACCGAGACCATGCGGAAGCCGATCAAGGATATGGCGCAGATGAGGAGGAGCTTTATGGAGTGAGCCCTCCAAGGCTCGTTGTGGCGGATGCTGCGGAATCGTTCGTCAGAGAAACTGCGCAAGGAGCCCCTGAGTTTGCCACCCAGCCGCCCAAAACAACCCACTCAGCTCCGAAACCAGTGCGCAATGAGGAGCTGAACGGCATTACAGTCCGTTCGTCGCACGTTGCGAGCCATTATCTGGATGATCATTCGACCAACGAAGAGGAAGAAGGTCAGTGTTCACTGACGTTGAGCAGCGGAATCCGGCTGACTTGAGTAGGAGATACAGCTTCAGCACAAGACATCCGCCGGAAGAGCAGCGGCAGGTCCACAAGCAAGTCTGTCTCGAGTGCAGCTTCGAGCAAAGCGAAGGCCAAACCGCATATCTCTGCCCCGACGTCCGTCATGACTAAGGCGAAAGCCACGCCCACCAGCAATAATTCTGCTTTCGCTGCTCTTCAAGCTCGGAGGAATGGAAGTGCCATCGCTGGAGCTGCGAGTACTGTTCCTAAGCTCACGAGCACGAGCGAGTCTACGGCACCACCCAAAGTTCGGGCTACCCAGGCTATAAGGAAGGCACTGGCCGACAAGGACAAGAATGCTCGGGCTCCTGCTCTGGAAATGGCTGTCGACGGCATTGACGAGAAGCCGAAGTCACGAAAGTTAGGTATGCTTGCAGTGACACCAGCGAGAATCATCGAGAAGACTATGACGCAAACCGGAGAAACAGCAGATCATCAGAAGCATGCTCGCTCGAGCGCAGTTCTGGACAAGAATAGCAAGAGCAAGTTGTCGACTGCTGAGGCTTCGAAAGCTACAAGCACCGCTAGATACACTGGCCGAAATACAGCACCTGCAGCCAAGGTCACTGTGCCGAGCCTCGATGACTTCTACGATGTACCTCTCTCTCCTCCTGGCAAGCAGGCCACGAATGGCAAGATTATGCCAGAAATCAAGTCGCAGCAACCTAGTAAGAAACAGGAGGCAGAGAAACGCAGTAGCCACGCACTTGAGAACAAAACCCGCGGTCGACCAAGAAAGCGACCAATTGCCGAAGATAGTGATGACTACGTTGACGCGCCTGTACGCGTGCAGCCTGCGAAATCGGCCCAGGCGGCAGCTGCCTTCAAGAGACGGAAAGCAGCACCTCCGAAGGCAGCACCGCCGAAGGCTACAGTATCGAGCAGCTCCAGCACGAAGGTTGATGAGGAGGGGATGGACTTCGAGAACGACCACGAGTCGATTGAAGATTTTGAGCACGCTGTCACACATGTGGACAAGGAGGGTAACGGATTGGGAGGCATAAGAATAGAGAAGGGTGAAACTGGGATGGTCGACGGCTCGGTGGGTGAGCTGGCTGACGACGACTCGCCACGGGCTGAGAAGACAGCTAGAAGAGCTAATGTCGCGAATGGCGCATCCCAAGACAACGCCATCTTGCTGTCAGACCGCGAAGATTGTTCTTCGGAGCTCGATGAGACAGAGCTAATGCCTGCGAAGCCGAAAGCAAGGTTACGACCTTCTGCGAAGGCGGTCAAGGCTCCGCAAACACCAGCTGCACCGTCGTCGAGCCCGCCCAATTGTGACCCTGATCAGGCTCCTAAGCCACTTGCAGACGTTGAAGCATCTCGTTGCTCTACCATCATCGGCTTCGATAGATCTGGTCCACGCAATCAAGGCACTCGATCAGTAAAGAAGCCTGCTGCTGGGACACCCTGGCATGACCAGACAGCTGGAATCCTTTCCCCACGCAAGATTATGAAGCTACAGCGCAGTACTCTGGCACGTGTAGACGCACACCATGGACTCGGACCGTCATCTGCTGTAGGGAGCATGAGGTCACACCGTAAACACCGTACCGATCGCAGAGCCCAGCCCGAAAATGTTGCTGCGGACGTCATAGACGCCTTATCCGGACTGCTGGGCCATGCCAAAGCATCTGCTGGGGATATTATGCCAGAGCTACGCACTAGAACTGAGATCGCAGCGTGGGGCGGGCATGACCAGGATGAAGGCTTCCAGCTTATTGATGATGCACTTCCGGCCCCAGTCGCTGCCACTAGAGGAAAGGCGCTCGATGAATGGTCAGTCTCCACACAGCCACCATTACCGCGAACAGCTTCACAAGTTGCTATGCCTCCGCCTGCCCCCAAGCACAGCAAGTTTGCAACGTTAGATGTGCCAGCTGCTATCCCTGTTACAAATGCTTTAATGGCCACAAGAGAGGTCCAGACTCATGCACGACCTGCCACTAAAACCTCAAAGCGAGCATCATCAGACGATAAGGACCTCGAGGCACCCGTCTCCAAGAAGAAAAGATCAAGGCAAGCAGTCCAGAACAGCGTTCCAGATCCCACGGTCGATTTTCCTACTCAGCCGAAGCCCACCAGAAGAGCTCTGCAAGCTATTGGGAAGTCAAAGGTCGGCAGACAGGCATCCCAAGGCAATGTTGATGTTGGAGGTAGTCCTATACCTAGGGATATGGTGGTCCCTGAGCATTCTACGGCCTTAGAGATCTTCTCGCAGCAAGCTGGTCTGTCCTCAGACTCTGCACCGGCTCAGCCAAAGCCTTCCTCTAGTATATCCACGACATCAGTCCTTCCAACCGGAGATCCTAGTTTCTTTGACCATCTGCTGTCCATACCATCATACCAGCCTCAACAGCTCGCGAGCAACGATAAACGCAAGCCAACGTCACCCGGACAAGAATCAAAAGCCATGACTGGTATTGCGATGCGTAGGCTGGACGGCCAGCGTCTGGTCATCCATGACGAACTCGGTCCGCCACCCACAAATCCCTTTGCTAGCTCGGAAGCAGCTCGCGGGCATCTCCGGAAAGAGAGCTCTTCCTCACAACTTGCTGAGAAGCTAAGACAGCAGACTGCACCATGTTTCCGGAAGCGCAAGAGTGATGCTGTCGAGGTAGAAGATCCACAGAAGACACTTGTCGAAGAAGTGCCGAAGTTGAAGAAGCAGAATTCCACGAAGTCCGTTCGGCTTGAGACCGCTATGTCAGCAGAAGACGACCCAGATAGAACACTTGTAGAGGGTCTACCAATTACGAGGAAGCGCATAGCTACCAAAGCTGCCAAGACTGTCCAGCGAGGAGGCAGTGTTCCGGCAGAAGAGGAGTGGGAAATGTCAGCCATCGGATTCTGGCGCAACGGCTTACAAAACTACCAGGTCAACATGTTCGACGAACTGGTCGGTATTTCGCACAAACTTATGCGCCACCTTGTCGACCGCGAGACGGCCATGCGCGAAGCCGTCTCCGACTATCGTCGCCAAGGCCTGAATATGATCGTTGAGATGGAAAGGAGACATGCTCGCGAGTATAAGGCGTCAGTGAAGAAACTTGAGGAACGGAAGGAGAAGATGAGAGGGGATTTGAATGCTATTAGTGAGAGGCTGCAGGATGCTGTGGCTGTTATGGCGCAGAAGAGGGGTGAGAGGAGGGAGACTGGACGGAAGCTTGACAAGGAGGAGGGGAGGTTGGTGGAGATATTGGCGGGTTTGTGTTGATGGGGTTGATGAGCTCTGAGACACACATGTGGGACGTGGAGGGAAGGTCCTTGTTGTCTTTCAAGTGCTTTGGGAAGGCGATGCTTATGATATGGTGTGGACGCTTGCGGCATAAATAATCCATCTAGACTCATCCGAGGGAAAGTGTTGTGCTTCAGCTGCCAATTCGTGAGGGCAACCCAGCGTAGTCACATCTCCTAGTCGCTAGCGATCTGATCTCCAGCTTGTCAAGCTTCTAGCGAACATGCTCATATTGTGACCAATACATGTACTTGTCCAGCTACAGTAGCTTCTTGGACATTCCCCAGGAAATCTCAGCCAGTCCAACAGCCTTTGTGGAGCACCCGAGTCCGGAAGTCAAGCCCATGTAGAGATCGATGTAGCTCAAACTTGAGCTTCGACAGCGCAGTGAAGTGATGCTGGATATCCCCTTCTGCAGTACGGCTTCGCTGACTAATATAGCCAAACATCTCGAGCCAGTCGTTATCAACGCAGGCCGTGTTGCGGCTTAGGATAGTCTGTACACTTCTCGATGACCGACAATGCTGTGTACGATAAGCCCTCCCGAGGAAAGCGATAGGTGCCAGCGTGCAGTATCTACAAAGGCGACAAACTTTCTCACACAATCCCGAAGTCAACCATATCAGCATTGGACTACCGACATAACATCTTGCGAGCGAGTCTGCTCGTCCAACAGGGTTGAGGTCGACAGGCTTCTTTCAAGAGCAATTCTTTACGCTTAGCCTCGAGCCACGGTGTGTCGTAATGCAGTCCTTGAGCCTGAGCATCGAAGACTGTGTTATCGAATCTCTCGCAGTAGTCCGTGATGTCCTCGGGTATACGCTTGAGCAGGTCATACGGTGTTGCACTGGGCCGAAGACGCTGCCTTAATCCCAGTCGTGCAACATGCAGCTCCATTTGATCCGGTCCCGGTTTCAGTATGTACTTTCTGCGATGGCCAATGACAACCCTGTCTAGTGCTGAAGACATCTTTAGCCATCTGAGCAAACCAAGCTTTTATCAGAGCTCGACCGCTGCTGGTCATGTAGACCTTGCGCCACTAGGATCAAGTCTTTTCTAATCAAGCTGTGGTGTTTATGCGCCATCTAGGCAGATTTGAGGAAGTGTTACCATGCGCCAGTCGGGAATCCAAGGACTGTACCTGACGCTCTACCGGCTGGAGCATAATGCGCATGTAGATTGCGATAGTAGCATCGATGGTGTTTGGATCACGTCATCGTACAGCCTGCTTCCTAAACACTGGTGCGTCGTTTCGAGCGTTGCTGTGCTTTGCCCGTCTGAAAGCTTTGCGCTCGAAGTATGCAGGGAAGATCTCCCGATGCTTCTCTGCGAGCCACAAGGCATCATGGTATAGCCCTTGAGCTCTTGCCTGACGGGTCGCTTTTAGGAACGTGATGCGGAAGGGTTCTCGAGCCTTACCGATACCTGGCAAAAAATGCTCAATCTCCTCGGTACTTTTGGTGCCGAATAGTCTTCTGAATAAAGAGATTGTGGGTTTAGCACTGGGTTTCGTTGGATGTTGCAGATGTAACTGTGCTACGATCAGATCTCTGACATCTTGACTTGATTTCCACGTGTACTTCTGGACCAGATCGATAAATCTATCATAAAGTTCCGGTGAGGTTCCGCGCCATGACCCGAGAACGAGCTGATTGGAAATCTCAATCGTAGCAGGCCAATGAGAGACTGTCAGCCATTGTAGGCCAATCATCGTTCCAGGCTCATCCAGTGGCAGCGTATGCTGCCCAGAAGTTTCGAGCAGACGGACGGCCTTCGTACGCGAGTCCAGCAAGTTGAAAAGAGTATTCAGAGCGTCGTCGGCGGATACTTGGTCGTTCCGAAGCAGTTGCGCCCGGATGATGTTCCTCAAGAAGAGCCCTCTCCAAATGAAGAATTTGGGCCCGAAGCTTCTCCTAGCATTCGTTGCATCGACGTCGACTTTCACCCAGTCCAAGAGGATGTCTTGGAGCCCTTCAAGGACCGCGCAGTAGCTCAGCCAGAAGACCGACTCGCGCTTTGACATCACAAAACCAAGCCAGGCGTCATTATCCCGAAGTAGATACTCAACGATGACGCCTGCTATGGGGCATTTCTGGACGAAGTCTGATGTCTGACTTTTTGGCACGCGCTGCAGACGTTGAAAGTGGTGATCCAGGCAGACCTCAATTGTGGCCAAGTCAACCGACTCAGTGGTTAGAGCTGCCTTCAACGTATCAAATGGCATCTTCTTGGAGTCTTGCAGGCAATCCTTAACACTGATCGCGGCAGCAGAGAGGGGGAGATGGACCTCCTCATCCTTCCTGACGAAGCGAATCCATTTGGTTGTGTCGTGAGCGTCCAGGACTTCCGGGCGTCTGATCTGGCGACGATAAGCAAGCTTCGGACGTCCGGGAAGATCGGAGGGTCCACTTGAAGGCAGCTTTTGCTCCGCAACGATAGATCCAGCAGTGGAAGAGGGAGCATGATTACTGGCGGCTCTGCATGGAAGGAGACCTCGTGGGTCTGTTGTACGCTGGAGACGAGCGCGGATCAGATTGTACATTCCCGCTCTCATCGGTCCATAGCTCTCAACAACAGTTTACCAAGCATTCGGATGCCCCGCAGTGGTGGTATGTTCTAGTGTGTTCGTGGTGAAGGGGGCAACGAGGAAAGCGGAACGGGTTCCTCAGAGCTCGGAGCTGATGTCGGCCCGACCTCGTGGCAGCAGCTCCAGGAATCCACGAATCCACGAATCCACGAATCCAAGTCTCCTACCTAGTGATCATTCACTCGCCGTTCCTCGAGTATCCACGGCGTCATCATGTTCTCTGGCTCCAACTCATATCTGGGTGGCAGCAACAGTGCGCGGCCTGGCCAGCCGCAGTATGGTCAGCAACAACAGGCCTTTGGTGGCCAGCCATCACCCTTTGGCGCACAGCAGACGGGCTTCCAGGGTCAGGCGCAGGCATCATTACAGCAGCAATATACTGGCTACCCCGGCGGTGCACTGCAGCCGCAAGCGACCGGATATCCTCCTCAACCACCGCAACAACAGCAGCAGCAAGCACCATTCCAGCAGCCACAGTTCACGAGCTTTCAACAGCCGCAGGCGACAGGATATCAGCAGGCCCCGCAACAAATCCAACCGCAGCAGACCGGCTTCCCTGCCAGCCAGCCTCCTCCACAGCAACAAAATGGCATTGCGCCGCCACCTGCCCAGCCGCAGCGACCACAGCAGACCGGGATGACCAGTAACGACATGGCCAACTCCTTCCGCGGCTCGTCAGCCACCCAGCCTGCACCGCAATCGCAACCCACTGTCAAGCGAGGGATCCCGAGCATCCGCCTCTCCTTCATCACGGCCACCGATCAAGCCAAGTTCGAGCAATTGTTTAAGAGCGCGACCAATGGCGAGCAGGCACTCAGCGGAGACAAGGCGAGAGATCTGCTGCTCCGGAGCAAATTGGACGGTAACAGCTTGGCGCAGATATGGACACTTTCGGACACCACCAAGAGCGGGCAGCTACTGTTCCCTGAGTTCGCACTGTCCATGTATCTGTGCAACCTGAGGTTGACTGGAAAGGACATGCCGACATCACTGCCAGACAGAGTTAAGAACGAGGTCAGCAGTATGGTGGACATCATCTCCTTCGGCGTGGCAGATGACGGACCCGCCAGGCAGACAGCAACCAATGCGCCCAACTTCAACGAGCCTCCCCAGATCCAGCAGCCACAGGCGCAAAGTGCCAGCAATCAGCAGCTTCTCAGTGCGTTGACTGCTCAGCCAACAGGATATCAATTCCCACAGCAGACGGGGTACCAGCAGGCACAACCGACTGGGTTGCTGCCGCAGCAGACTGGGTTCCAAGGTGGTATGCCACAGGCTACTGGCTATAGTGGCCCACGTCCGCCTATGCCACCGATGCCCACAGGCTTCAATCAGACATCGGCACTTTCGCCACAGCAGACAGGATACCCAATGGCCGCACCCTTGAACGCGCAGCCTACCGGTGCACCTGGCCAATGGGGCCTCGTCAACGCTCCCGCTTCCGGTCTACCAAACTTGCAAGCTCTGCAGCAACAAATGATGCCACAGCCAGGACGCGAAAGTGGCTTCTCTGCCCAAGGTCTGCGCGGTAATGCGACTGTGCCATGGGCTGTGACAAAGGACGAGAAGAAGATCTATGACGATATGTTCAAGGCGTGGGATGGTTTTGGCAAAGGCTACATCACTGGCAATCAAGCCATTGAGATCTTCGGGCAATCTGGATTGGAGAAGCCAGAGCTGGAACGAGTCTGGACGCTGAGTGATCCTCACAACAAAGGTAGGTTGAACCTGGACGAATTCGCAGTCGCCATGCATTTGATCTACCGACGTCTCAATGGCTACCCAGTACCCAAATCGCTACCAGCCGAGCTCATTCCGCCGAGCACGCGCAATATCAATAGCTCTATCGACCGCATGAAGGGTCTGCTTTCGCAAGATGCCACCGAGCGCAAGAGTACGGGCGCCTTTTTGCAGCCGCAGAAGACTGGGGTCAGCTATCTCAAATCGCACTCTTTCCGGTCCGGATCGCCTGATACTGGAGGACGCAAGGATGCGACCGTCTTCAAGAACAACGACGACGATGTGGGCTACCGCTCATCTGCTCGGAGGAGAGTGGGAGGCGATGCTGATGGCCGTTCGCCAAGTCCTGCTATCAGTGAGCAGAGTGCAGACGACCTGAGCATTGATCAGCTCAAGAAGACCATTCGTGAAAAGCAAGTACTGCTGGATGCGATGGACTTCGAGGATGAAGGCCATGAAGATGAGGAGGATGCACTTGATCGCAAGGATAAGAAGGAAGCTGAAGAACTTTTCAGACGCATCAGGAGGATACAGGACGACATTGATGGGCACCCAAATAGTGTCTACAAGAGTGCTGATGGAGATTCCGAGAGGAGGGCATTGCAGCGGCAATTGCGTGGTCTGCAAGATCGTCTCCCGGAGCTCGCGAGTCATGTCCGGAGATGCGAGCGCGCAATTGCTGATGCTCAGCTTGAGCTCTTCAAGTTGAAGGATGCCAAGGCCAATCCTGGATCTGCGCAGAGTATCGTCGGAACTGGTCCAGGTGGTCAGGTGACGGAGTCAGACAGACTCAGAGCAAGAGCAAAAGCTATGATGCAGCAGCGCTCTGCAGCATTGGCTGGCCGGAAAGTGGATGTGGGCGACGATGGAAGTGCGGCAGCGGGGAGATTGGAAGGCGAGCAGAAGCGTGTGAACCGAGAGAAGGACGATAATGAGGCGATGGTGAAGGATGTCGAGGAGAGTGTGACTGAGTACAGTCGAGGGCTGGAATCGAGCTTGAAGGAAGGTGCGGAAAGTGCTAGTGATGAGCACGAGCGGAGGAGGTGGCAAGATGGTCTTGGCGTAGAGGATGAGGTGAAGGACTTCATCTTTGAAATGCAGCGCAGCTCACGAGCTGCAAAAGTCCGGACAGAAGACCGCGCTCGCCCTGCGGCAGCTCAGCAAAGTCGTGATGTCGAGGACAGGAGCAGCACACCTACCGCACCTGCAAGAACAGACAGTCCGGCAGCACGACAACCAGCACAGGCCAGTGGCGGCACCTACAATACATATAAGACCGCCGAGGAGAAAGCGGCATATGTTCGACAGCAAGCCGAGCAAAGAATGGCAGAGCGTATGGCCGCACTTGGTCTTCGCGCCCCGTCTAAGAGCGGTGGTGAGAATGCCCAGCAGCGAGCCGAACGTGAGCGCAAGGAGAAGGAAAGCCGCCTCAAGCAAGCCGAAGAAGAGGATGCCAAGCGTGAGCAAGAACGACAGGCACGTTTGCAAGGCGAAGGATTTGGCGCACCAACGCCACAATCGCCAAGCCAGGCTGCTGGAAAGCCTAAGCCACCACCGCCTGCCCCGAGGAAGAATAGGAGCGAGAGTTTGCAGAGTGAGCAGAGCCAGCAGGGCAAGGTCGATCCTCAACTGAAGGCCGAGGTACTGAAGGAGCAGCATCAAGAGACACGAGATCTAGAGTACGTGGAGTGTGTCATAAGTAGAGTTACGATGGTGCTAATGTTTTCAACAGAAATGAAGAAGCGAAGCAGGAGCGTGAACTGCATAAGCAACGCGAAGAGGCCGAAGCTAACCTGCGCGCGCTCGAAGAACAAGTCAAAGCAGGTAAGCTGAAGCGTAGCGAGGAGAAGACACGCCGCGCAGCAGCCAAGAAGGAAGCCGATGAGAAGGAGAAGAGGCTTGCAGCACAGCGAGCAGAGATAGAGGCTGCCAAGGAGAGGGAGAGGCAGCTTCGCGCTCAGCTCGAGAACATCGACGATGATGATAGCAGTGACGACGAATGGGAGAAGCCAGAGGAGGACACGCCGACGCAGAGCGTCAGCTCGCTGCCACCACACGCGCCATCTGCGCCTGCACCACCGACTCCTGCTCTGGAAGAAGTGAGGGCGCAGGAGCCTGTTCGCGAAGAGGCTGCCGCGACTGCGCTACCTGTCGCCAGCCCTCCAGCATCTGAAAGCAAGAATCCTTTCTACCGCTCTACGGGACAGAGTCAGGCAGGCTCAAGCATCACCAGCCCTGCCGCGGTCGAGGAGAAGAAAGATACCAATCCTTTCCATCGTCTCAGTAATGCAGACATCCAGAGGCAACAGCAAGCCCTGCCCGATCCGGCACCGCCTTCTGCTAGGACTCGTGGAGCTCCCAAGGACGAAGACGACTGGAGCGTTGTCGAATCGGACGATGACGAGGAAGAGGAAGAGGGACCTACAGGCGGAAGCGCGAAGCAACTAGCAAGTATTCTCTTCGGTACCATGGCTCCTCCTCGCCCCTTGAGCGCCGCTGGATCCGGCCCGGCTTCACCTGCTGTGGGTAACAACCGTGCGGCTTCCCCACCTTTGGCCATGCCAGGTGCATTCGCGCATAGTGCACCTCCACCTCCGCCTCCACCGCCACCAGGTGGTGCTGCGCCGCCGCCGCCTCCCGGGCCGGCTCCGGCTCCTGCTTTGCCTGGTGGTGGTGCTGCTGCGGCAGGTGGGGATGGTGCGGCGTCTGATAGGAGTGGGCTTTTGCAGCAGATTCAGCTGGGTAAGGGGTTGAGGAAGACGGAGACGAAGGATAGGAGTACGGCTGGTAGTGCTGGGAAGGTGCTTTAGGTGGTTGTGGTTGTTTGGTGGGGAGAGGATGCAAGGAGGAAGCGAAAGGCTTGCGAGACCCAGTGAAGAGGAAGTTGATATTGCAGGAAGTGAGTAGGGTGGCGGTTGATTGGACGATCGCGAGATGTGTAAGGTAAATATTTGGTGTACAGATTGTGTATATGTGACTCGTCAGGCTTTTGCCCACCTTACTGCGAAATTGGAAACGATGAGTCGACAGGCGTTACATACCCACGAGCTGATAACGTTATCACTAGGACTCTTAAACGATGACAGGATACTTGTGGCTGCGGCACCTTATACCGGAACCAAGCCACCTCGGTCACCTCGGTCACCCAGGCTAGTGCAATCGTTCGATGATATGCACTACAGCTTGCGTCAAAACGGCTGCAGTCCCTGCTGTCACTTTTGCAAGGTATACCTTGGTTACCAAGGCGTGGGAGCGGAGTTTGCCTGCGGTAATACTTAAGGTCGACCTTTCGATGCCTCTTCTTGTTCCTCTTTTCCAAATGCAACTCCCAGAATCAAAACAACCGACACCTACTCACTTCAACATACGCAATCATCTTTGAACAACCTCATCAACACTGGCTTGAACTCGAACGCAGATCATCTTTGGCTCTCTACTGTCCCTGACGACCAACTTCGCTTGGATCATCAGTCACCAGTCTTCACGCTCCCACAACATGACGAGGAGGCTCACACCCTGCTTGCCAAAGCCCGCCAGCACGACTTCGGTCAACCAGAATGAAGACTTCCATTCCAGCTCTGACGATGAGCCACAAGTGTCTCCTCGCACGAAGTCACGCTCTACATTCGGCAGCGGCACCAAGCTCTCCGATTTCGACTTCGACCTCATGATCAAGCATAGTCTATATCGGGATGAACTTCCTGCCTTCAAGGTCAAGCTCAAGGAGCAGCCATCGACAGCATCCGCTCTTCCACAGCCCGACACCAATATGGACCAGGGCGCTGATACCCCTGCATCCGCACAGCCAGCCGGGGTACGGATCATGACTGCTCCTAGCTCGACCCCAGCCACGTCAACCTCGGCTTTACCGCAGAGGATACCGATGGAACAGGGAGGGATACCGATCAGACTGGGCGGGATGTCGATGAGAAACATTTCCGCAGCCCAGGGCCTGATATCCGCACCAACCATGGGGATGCCAAGTCCAACCTTTGGACCTGGGTATACGCGCCCATACCCTAATGGCGTGTTGTTTCCTCCGATGCCAATGCTATCACAGCACATGAGCACGGCGTATCCTCCCGGTCTACAATCATTTACCGGTGCACCGTCATATCCCGCGGCCGCTTCTCCACGGTATAAGCTAGTCTCCTGACTGTTACAAATGCAATCTGATGCTGACTATTTTGCTACAGCGACCCAGCTCCGATCGGCCTGGAGCAGCCATCGTCAGACATTCGTCTTAACATTTCCGATCCCATAAACGACAAGCGATACGCCGTGTATCTGGATTTCGCTATGCTGCGTCGGCGCTGTCCTTTCCTGGAGTACCACGACGAATGTTACCGAAACTCCTTGGCTCCCAGAGTACGTTATCACAGCACTTTGGAAGCGGAATGGAAAGCTAACGCTGGTTCACAGGGTCACCAATGGCAGATCTCATTCGAAGCGCCCTGCAACGCTACGTCAGTATGTCTCCAGTATGCCGCCTCGGGCATCATGCTGCCGCCAGTCGATCTCTGCGATATCTTCGATACCCTCGTCATGGCTAGCTCATGGCAGATGGAGGAGCTGGCTATGGCAACATACTGTCACTTCGTCCAAGAGGCTATGCAATTACCATGCAACGAGCTAGGGCAGCTATTGTTGTTGTTCGCCAAGGCGCACTCCCCCGACCAACGTGACTGCGGTGATGAAGCCAGAGTGGCCGTCAACAAAGCCGTCGCCTCGCGGGCTACGGAGCTCCTGGCCGACCCACAACTGCTCGAGATGCTGACTACAATGGGTAATGAAGCTGTAAGTCGCTTCACGAAGGTTCTCGCTGTTCAACTCGAGCGCAGTCGTCGTTCGGCGAACCGGCATATGCTTCAGCGCAACTGGCAACCTAATGGTCGCATGGAAGTTGACGTTGCGAGTGTTGCACTGTTCAAAGAAGTCTCATGCAAAGCCAGTTCTGGAACTCTCAAAGAGAGCCCAGAGAGCCCTGCGGTCGGAAGCAGGCATTCTTGGGAGACAGCTGAAGCTGTGCCATGGCCCGTCGAACGAGGCTCTTCGACAAGCGCCTCAGCGAGCCATGTGAAGCCGGCTCCGTCAAGCTCGTCCACGCCTGGAGCTTTGCCGAGGGTATCCCATACCTATGGCGCCGCCTTGCCCAGCACGATATCATCAAGCCCTCATCTATCACAGCCACGTTTCATGCCCACCGCCAGTGGCTCACGCAGACGTCATCGGTTTGGTAGGAACGACGAGGGGAATGACAGCGAAGGTGAGTTAGACCACGACCACTATCCGTCCAGGAGAAGCGGGTATCAAAAGCGTGGTCAGCAATCTTGCGACAAGTATCGTAACTGAGACTCAACCGCACAAGCCAAAGCACACTTCCCCTCCACTCCATCAAACGACGAAACATCAAGCGTGAACTCCCGCCCATCCTCCGGCGGCACATTAGCCCAGCACCGAAAATTCTGTTGCTGTTGTGCCGGCATCCCGGGCCAGGTCGTCAGGATACCGAAGAGGACGATGCAGTTTGTGCCGGTGAGCTGGAAGCGGTGGCGGATGTGGCCGTGTTCGGTCCAGGATTTGTTTGGGGACATTGTGGGGGATAGGGTGCGAGGGGAGAGGGCGGGTGAGGGGGCGGTAGTGGTGACGGTGGTGATGACGGCGAGAGGGAATGGCCTTGATGATGGTGGCGAGGGTGGCGAGGGTGATGATGAGGAGTGTTGTGAGGTGCATGATTCCATGGATGGTGTAGTAGCTTATTGCAGTCCTGAGATCGAGCTGAATCGAGAGGGTGGGAATGATGGCACTGTGGTCGGTCTTCTTTGCTTGGTGTACTTTTTTTGTTCCAGCGTGAGATATGAGTGATGGTGCTGACTGAGCGTAGTCCCAGAGGAGTGAGTTGCGTGGTCCTAGCCGAGCGAGCTCCACAACTCTAGATCAGTGGGCCGTGCGGTAGTGTAGTCATAATATAATCTCGTCGAAAGCGTGCCCACCGCACAATGCCAGTGCATGGAAAGATCCTGAGAACCAGCTTTTCCCTGTTCACCCCGAGAATGATTCCGCGGCTGTCGAGACGAACAGGTCATCAGGCCCAAGATTGAAAGACATACTGATGTTCGCCTACCATGTCAGGTCAGGTTCGATGAACGGGTCAGAAGATCTCACGCTAAGGGGCCGAAAAAGAAGGACCCGGCTTGAAATTATACTTCTATGTCATCAATTCACCTATCGACCGAGATACGTCTACTGGAGCTCCGTGAGCATCGGTACCAGGAGGGGAATAGTACCTTCGTCTGGGCAGGCGAGGAAGAAAGCGACCGTTTCCAGTTCGGCGGGGGGAGTCTGGTGAAGGGACTATATCGAAAGGTGTAAAGAGCCACACGCGGGCGATTGTGACAAGCAAGCATCATCTATTAGTGATCTCCCTATCTCCGTACTCCCGGCATCTACTTCTCATTCTCCTTCTCATCCAAGCAAATACACAACCCAGCGATCAAACTGAGATCCACATTCGGCGCCACCACGACGAAATACTACCATCCAACGTCAGCATTCCCACCCACGTCCACACAACACAAAAGCACGAAGAATGGTGAACAGGAAAGAAAAGAGCGAACGCACCGTCTGCTTATCCCCCCAAATCTCCCTTACATTAAAATAACTCCGCTGAATCGCCGCCACGGGCCTCCCCCCATACGAAATCTCCGCACTCCGATCCATCCAATCCCCCTTGACCTCCAACTCCACCTGGACCCCGTCCGCTGCATTCTTAAAAGTAACAGTGGAATGGGAGCCGATGAGTTTGAAATGCCCTTTCACTTCGAAATCGTGCTGGCCGTGCGGGGATTCGCCGTGGAAGGATTTGGAGATGGACAGCATTTTATTTTTCAGGGTGAAGAGGTCGTTGCCGGCCATGTCGGTGAATTTCTTGCGGTCCCGGGCGGAGACCATTTTGCCGTGGCAGGTGCAGACGTCGAGGCCGTCGACTGTGCGGATGGTGAAGTCGTCGCCTTCATAATGTGTATTTTAGTAGCATGTCAATTGAGATTGTGGTGTGGCGAATGTTGGTTACCTGACAAACTGAAGACTTTCTCCTTCATCTGCAGGGTGACTTGGTGGGGGGAGTAGATGTGGGCGTTGGCGGGCTGGGGGCCCAATGGGGGCTGGAAGGGCGCGAGGTGGGGTGCCATGGTGGGTGAAGTTGAGATAGTATTGGGGGGAAAATGGTATGGTACAGTAGGAAGATGGACGAAGGGGGGGATAATTGTTATATCTTATCTCGCCACGCACAGCTGAAGTTGGTGGAGCTACGCTGTTCCTGCATGTGCTTCCCAGCTGTGGCCTACGTCATGGTTCCGGAGCTTCTTCATCCTTAGTTGAAGGTTGCGCTATTTGACCATACCTCTCCCGCCGACTATCGTGCCTGCCCGGGTCGACCTAGTATATAGTCGACTATACAAGGTGGGTAGAGCTTCGGGACTCAATGCCTTTGACCGCCCAAACTATCATGTGTTTGAAAGAAAAAGCAGGTGAAGTCGGAGGTGGAGTTGCAAAGAGAGTTCGCCGCTAATGCAAGCACTGCGGAACTAGATCCGCGTTGATCGACAATAATCACTTTTCCATGAAATTATCCTGGAACAACCACCAAAAGCACACGACCACACGACCACACCACCATACCACACCACCATCCACTGTCAAGAATGGACCTCTCCCAACCCCAAACCTACACCTATGACCTCGGCAACCTCCTCATTAACGACCCCACTCCCCTTCCCCACCACACCCCGACCACGCTCGAATCAACCCTCCAAACCACCGCCCAAGCCACGGCCCAAGGCCTCCTCCATCAACTCCTCACCGCCTGCCCCATCGTCCGCAGTACCGACGACGCCGGCGCCTTGCACATCCGTCTCCCGGCCCCCTCCACCCTCCTCCCCAGAGAGAAACCAGTCCCAAAGGCGAAAGAGAAGACGACGTGGGAGAAATTCGCCGAGAAGAAGGGGATCGGGAAGAAGCGGAAGGAGGGGAATTTGAAGTTCGATGAGGGGAAGGGGGAGTGGAGGAAGAAGTACGGGTTTAAGGGGGGTAAAGGCGGTGCGGGTTTGGACGGGATGGATGGGAAGGGCGGGGTGAGCGCGGACTGGATTACCGAGGTTTTGGATGAGAAGGAGAAGAAGGAGGTGGAGGAGAAGAAGGGGAGGGTTGATCGGGAGGGGAAGCGGATTCGAAGTTCGGGGAAGCGGGGGCAAGGGAAACGGGGCCATTGAGGTTGGCTTCGGAGAAGGACTTGAGTGAGCTCCGGTCCTGGGATGGGATGGGATCGCGGCACTTGAGATCGATCTCGACAGGTTCCGACGGGCTCAGCTTCGGTCTCATTGGTACCACCGTACCATCTGGATAACCTCTAAGTCAGGGCCCTCACATTTCGATCTCTGGCTCGAGGTCCACTACCACGCACAATCGTCCACCCTCCTCATTCGTCTCCTTCAACTCCACCGAAGGCAACAAAGCCCAATGCGCCACTTTCCGCCCACGCCAAACCCGCTCATCCCACAAAGGCTTGCCGCCACTCATGTCGCTTTCGCTCCTCGACCGCTTTAGATCAACGCCTTTGCCTTCCAACCTGGCGAACACCTCTTCTAGCGATTGTGTCTGTCCACGCATCAAGGCGAGCAGACCTTTCTCGCTATCTTGTTTGGCTAGGAGGGTGGAGGTGAGTGTATCCAGGCGTGCCTGCAGGTGGTGGTGGGAGTGCTGCAGGGCGGCTATGTCGGCCGCGAGCTGCACGCTTTGAAATTTGGGGTCGAAAGTGGAGTTGGGCGTGGGCGTGGTCGTGGACGTGGTGGGGGATACGCTCATCGCAGACTCCTGAGGTGGCAACGGAGCATCCTCGATCTCCTGCTTGAGGTCACCTTGTCAGCTATCTTACTACTCCCTTCTGCGCACGGTCGACCTTGACGGCTATATATACCTTTTCGACCTCCCCATGAACAGATTCAGAAGCAGGAACAGAAATACTCATCGCCCTCGCCACCGCCTCCGCCAATTCCGCGTTCCGCTGCTTGGTCAAGTCGACATCGTAGGAGAGTAGGGTATCGATGCTCGGCTCGTCGTATGTCGGGAAAGCTTCTTGGGATGAGGTACGAGAAGTGGAGATTGAGGTGGAGCCGGAGCTGGGGGTAGTGGTGATAAGTAGTTCTGTGCCCTCCGCGATGGGCTTCAACTTCCCGTGGCTGCTCGTGCGACTACTGCGTGATGAAGGTTCGCGGCTCATGGTCTCAGGACCGGATGTGGAGGACTGCAGGCTGTTCTGTTGCTGGAGATGAGGGATGCTTGTTGTACAGATCCTGTGGGATTAGGGTCTGGGCAAATGGAATGGAAGTGGGATATAGCACAGAAACACCCAATCACTAGGGTAAGATAATGTTCGCTCTCCCGCCCCTTGAACTCGCGTTTGTTTGTTTGCTGGTCCCTCGTGTTTCGCCCCTCACGCTGTTAGTCACTACCATTGTAGTATATGGTTCCTCGTGGCGGTATGGGATTCATTCACTACGTGATCTAGACCGTATGCTCGGCGAGCTGTCCACGTTGGGTCATGTGATCGTGAGTGTGGGTGAGCGAGTGAGTGGGGTCATGTCGTGGAAAATGGGTTCGTGGGGTATGTACATGTTACATCGCTTCATGGCGTACGAGCTTGTATACAGATCACCACCCCATCTCCCTCTTCTCCACCCCTGAGCCCAGCCAATGTAGTCCTGATGCCCGCGGAGACTGCGACGAACAACTGCGGGCCTCTTTCACCAAGATCGGCACGGTGCAACGTGAGATGTGGTGCAAGCGTCGTTCGGGGGACCTTGCAGTCGCCCAGACCAGGAGTCCTGCCGCCATGACGGTTCTCGTAGCTTGATCAGAGCATTGGGGTCCTCGAGCAGCGCGTTTCTCGCCTTCCAGCGCAAGTTGCGGGAGCCACCCCGGCATGGCTGGACATATAGATGGCGTCTGCCCGATCCATGTGCCTTCGAGATGCCAGCCATCGAAATCGATTCGAAGACCTACTGCACTCAAATCAAGGTACCTTCTCCGCCTCCTCCACCAACTCCTCAACCTTGAACGTCTCGTCGCCACCCGAAAACTGCTCCATCAGCTTCCTCCTCCTGCCCGCATTAGCCCGAGCCCCTTCGCTATGGGCCTCAAAGCCATAGAATTTCTGCAGACACATCAGAAGCCATTTCCCCTCGTCCACGCTCAACCCTTTATCCTCCGTCACCCTACCCTCGAGCAGCACGATATCATTACTCCCCGCGAGATCGAGATGATGGGTCACAGTCGTATGCGGCTGCGCGAACTCCCCTCGCAGTTTGAATTCAGCCAGGTGCGTGAAGAGAACTGTTGCTGTATTCTTTGACGGAAAAGTCCACTGCAGGAAATGAATCTCGGCGCCCTGGCCTTCTCGGGGAAGCGGCAGGATAAACTGCGGATGTTTTCGCGCGGTGATGGCGATGCGGGTGAAGGTCGCGGCGGGCATGACCGCACACAAGCTCTGAGGGTCCCGGACGTGGCGTAATCTCCATAGTGCCTCGATCTCCTTGGATGGTAATTCGGAGGTCTTCTGCACGTCGAGGAAGGAGGAGAGGGTTTTGACGCCGTCTTTGCTCGCTTTGGCGTAGGCTTGTGCCGCAGCGCCACCATCCTCGTTGGTCTCCGGCACTGGTGGGGCTTGATAAGGAATACTCGCATCGACCCCCTCCGGCCTCGGCGGCACCTGCGCACCCACCGGCGCATTCGCCCCCGGCACCGTCGCCTTCTCCCTCAACTCCCGGATCCGCCCCTCATACTCCCCCTTCAACTCCTCCACATTCCTCAACCCCTTCTCCCGCGCCTTCTGCTCGAGCTTGGCGCGGTATTTCTCCTGCACGGCCGAGGGGTTAGTGGAGGAGTTGCGGGAGGCGACGAAGCGGACGTCGTGGACTTGGGCCCAGCGGCGTTGGTAGCAGCGGTAGGGAGCTTGAGAGGACCAGATGGTGCGGGTGAGGAAGGGGCCGCCTGTGTTGAAGACACGGGTGGATGGGGAGGACATGGTGGGGTTGTCCATATAATATAATAATAGAGATGAGGAGGAGAAGGATGTGAGATGATGGTTAGCAGAGCCTCAATCATTATTAACTATTGTAGTTACCGTACAGGGCAGGGCTTCTCCTTACGGCTTAGCTCTGAGACGCGATCTGGAGATGCGCTATCGGCTTATCGTGGGCCTCGGCTTGAGAGTGAAAGAGGAAGGACATCACCACACCTCGGACGGGCGAGGCGGGAGGAAAGATGGAGGAGTCTTTTCTACATCTCGTGCTGCTAGATATGTTACGGATACACATATCCTGCAATACACATTATCAAGTATCATGCCTGCCGAGTCGAAATACCCTCCCATCAACATCCCCAATGTCGGCCTCTGGGACTTTCTGTTCGAGAGGAAGGACCGTGACTTTCCAGATGACAAACGTGTGGAATACCATTGGATGGACATACCACTCAGACTCGATGCTAACACTGTCCAGCCATCTTCGTCGACGCCGACACCAATGCCTCTCTCACCTACAGCCAAGTCAAGCAGACCGCATCAGACTTCGGCAAAGGCCTAAAGGCACTCTGGGACTGGCAGAAAGGCGATGTCCTCGGAATCTACTCCCCCAACAGCATCGAATTCCCAGCCGTAACATGGGGCTGCCACTTCGCCGGCGGCATCGTCTCCCCCGCGAATCCCGGCTACACCGTCTCCGAACTCGCCTTCCAACTCAAGGACAGCGGCGCCAAAGCCATCGTCACCCAACTCCCCCAACTGGAAATCGCCCTCCAAGCCTGCGCCCACGTCGGCATCCCCACCGACCGCATCGCCCTCATGGGTCAAGCCCGCCATCCTGAATCCGGCCGCTTCAAACACTGGACTACCATCCGTAACCTCTCCGGCACCTCGCGCTACCGCCGCGCCAAAGTCGACCCGGCAAAAGACCTCGCCTTCCTCGTCTACAGCTCCGGCACCACGGGCAAACCAAAGGGCGTCATGCTCACGCACCGCAACATCGTAGCCAATACCCTTCAAATCACCTCGGCCGAATCCCCGCTCTCCTGGCAACCCCGCCCGGACGCTCCAGAGGGCGACAGTATCCTAGCCTTCCTCCCCTTCTTCCACATCTACGGCCTGACCGTCGTGCTCCACCAATCCTTCTTCCGCGGCACCAAGACCGTCGTCATGCCGAAATTCTCCCTCGAAGCCTGGTGCGCCGCGGTCCAAACCCATCGTATCACCTTCGCCTACGTCGTCCCGCCCGTCATCCTCCAGCTCTCCAAACACCCCCTCGTCTCGTCCTACGACCTGAGTACCCTCCGGATGATGAATTCCGGCGCCGCGCCCCTGACTCACGAACTAGTAACCGCGCTCTACGACCGCATCGGCGTGCCTGTCAAGCAGGGTTATGGTTTGAGCGAAACCTCGCCGACGACACACACCCAACCCTGGGATCTCTGGCAGAGCACGATCGGGGCTGTAGGGACTATGCTCCCCAACCAGACGGCGAAATACATGTCCGCCGACGAGACCGAGGTGCCTGTAGGCGAAGTCGGCGAGCTGTGGATCAAAGGCCCGAATATCTTCTCCGGCTACTTGAACAACCCCGAGGGTACGAAGAATGCATTGACAGAGGACGGCTACTTCAGAACAGGCGACGTGGGTTATCAAGACAAAAACGGCAATTTCTATATTACAGACAGAGTGAAGGAGTTGATTAAGTACAAGGGGTTCCAAGTCCCGCCTGCTGAGCTCGAGGGCCTGTTGGTCAGTCATCCGAAGATCGATGATGTGGCTGTGGTGGGGATCTATCGGGAGGAGGTGGCGACGGAGGTGCCGGTTGCTTTTGTTAAGCTGCGGGAGGGGGTTGTGGCTAGTCCGGCGGTGGAGAAGGAGATTGTGGAATGGTACGCCCCCTTCTTCTCTCTGTCTCTCTCTGTTTCTCCCCCTCTCTCTCTCTCGCTCTCTCTCTTTCTATCTCTATCCATCTCGCTTCCTAACCCCTGTCCTCTTCCGATGTTCCCGCTACAGACCGACTGACTTTCTTTTTTCTCGTGGCCATGCAGGCTCACAACCAAAGTCGCCAACCATAAGCGTTTGCGCGGCGGGGTGCGGTTCGTGGATGAGATCCCGAAGAGTGCTAGTGGGAAGATTTTGAGGAGGGTGTTGAAGGAGAGGTTGGTGGTGGAGGAGGAGAGGAAGGCGGGGAGGGCGAAGTTGTGATTGTTGAATCGATTGATCGATGCATCCTGTTGGAGTTTTGGGTTTGCTGCTTGGGTTTGTAGGTTCTGGGGATCGGAGATGAGATGAGATGAGGTGAGGTGAGTTAGGGTGGAACTGAGATGGAGATGTACGATCGAATTTACCGCACCGATACATATAGCTCGATCAAAGCACGCCCGCCCACGAACAGGCGCTGAGTAATAACCCCCTGGAAACATGCATCTAGTCAGGCAGCGCGCACCACCCCAACCGATCCCCTCTGGTATCGTCCTCCCCCTCCCCGAAATTCTCCTAACAGCCCACCAAGCTCGTCTCTCCCACGCACTAACCTCCCTGCGGGACTCACGAGCGGAAACCTCAGTACATATGGCGGATTTGATGGAATGGAAAGTCCAGGAGGATAGACTCCTGAGTCAGCACAAGGAGTGTCGGGATGAGCATGAGGGGTTGTTGGGGCCATGTTGCTTGGGGACAGGTTGGGAGCCGGGTGACGCGGATTCGGGCGGGATGAGGGATATTGTCAGGATCAGGGAGGTGCAAGTAAGGTGGCTGGCGGAGGAGAATCTGGAGTTGAGGGAGCAGGTTGCCGAGGTGAGTATCACTTCTTCGATTTCGATTCCGATTTCCATTTTGCTTTTCGCCGTGGGCGCGTGCTAGTCAGGTTCGGATCATGATGCTGATGATTGTGCTTGGGTGTAGTTGCTCGAAATGCTGGAGCGGGCTCAGATGGCTGCGATCGAGCTGATGTTCGGTGAGGGAGATAGGATGGCAATGGCTCTCCTGTTCGTGACAATGAATGAGTGTGGAGTGGTGAGTGTCAAGGAGGAGGTCGTACAGGCTTGGCTCATTGTATTAGCCGTTTCCAATGCTACCTCTCAATGCTGGCAGATCTGGGCTATAGTTCTCGCGCTGTCTGCATGCTTTGTCATGCAGCTTGTGATCGCAATATGAAGTGAATGCTTTCACCTCACAACGTCCGTCCACAGGCAAACGTGAGTGTACAATGCTAGCCGCATGACAACAGCAATCTTGTTTTGTTATTGATGCTGTACCAGTATAAAACCCTTGCAATCCTTTCTGACATGCTCCAAACTGCAACTATCATATCAGCTTACAAGACTTCTGCAATATATACCACAAGTAAGAAGCTGCCTCGGTGGCAGACATGGCTTCGGTATCTTGTTCTGTGAACTGAGCCGACGATGCTGCCAAGAGCCTGCGGGCATCGTGCGGAGCCATGTTGTCGAAGTCTGAGACCAGGAAGTTGCTTCAGAACAGACTTACCAGACTATTGTCCTCGCCTGCAAAGGGTGGCGGTGATGGTGAGGGCTGGCGTGGAACGGCTTAGGACCGTGTGCGTGCGGCTTAGAGGACCTTGTTAAAGGACATCTTGTCTATATCCTCGTCACTAGAGTCCTGCTCTACGAAGCGCGTGCGCTTCGTAGACGATTCTGCAGCCCTACCACTGCTCTTGCGCTTGTTGCTAGAGGTGACAGCCGGAGTGGTAGGTAGACGAGAAGGAGTGGTGGCGGTGCGCGCGCGGGGGCGACGCGAAGTAGCAAACTCACGACCAGTAATGGTGGTAGGAGAAGCTGGCTGGATGCGAGGCTGCAAGGCCTCCTCTAGGAACGCACCCGACGCGCGGCCTCGACCTGCTAGCACACGAGGAAGTGGGCCCGGGAAGAGTCGACGAGCCATAAAGGTGTCACTAGAAATGGCGCTGTCGGATTCGCTATCCATACTCAGTGTATCGATGTCGATATACTCTAAATCCGACTCATCTACTTGCTCTGCTATCGCGGCCCTGGTGTTGCGGCCGGACCTCCTGCGGGAGCGTAATGGCGTCTCCGGGTTGGCGCGTAAAGGCAAGTTAGGTCTGTTGCCACCTAGGCCGACAATCTCAGTCACACCGCCGGAGGTGCGCCGGGTTAGGGTGTGCTGGGTGATGGTCGCACGTGGCGACTGAAGTGATGAGGCGGGGACTTCTTTGGTCCGGCTGCGTGTCATGTTCTCCTATGAGAAGTCAGCATGCGGCCCTAAAGGTAGAAGGATGAGTTACTAACCACAAAAGCGCCTCCTGACCGGCGGAGGACGACGACCTCCATACGATCACACAACATCACTGGATCAGTCAGCGTCGTTCTCGATATCCAGAACTGATTCTTCTCGGACCCACACCAAACCCGACGCCCCCAACAAGATGGCCGTACGTCCCCACCCCGTCAAGGACATCGGCGACAAGCACAAAGACGAACCCGCCAACCTCGAGATGAAGCAATTGTGGTCGACTCATCCCTTCTACCGCAACAGTGAGGTTGGCAAGATCCTCACCACCAGCACGACCGCCACCAGCAGCCCCGTCCACAAGAAGAAGGACGTCTCGTTCGGTAGCACAGCTCGCCTGCCGAAGTCAAAGTATGACTCGGACGGTCGCAAGATCGAGGTCGACGATCGTGACCGCACGCACGACCAGGAGGGTGAATGGGGTGACCCTGGTGAATACGACCAGCTTCGTCGTGATGATGGGTGAGATGGCAAGGGAAGGAGTGTGGATGAGATGTTGGAGATGCGTGAGCTCCGTAGGGCGAAGGGAGAGGCGAAGGGGCCAGCTTTGGGGAAGGTTGAGATGAGTGGGTGAGGTTGACGGAGTTTAGCGATGGACCTGTATATCATGTGATTCCGTTCTCCACCATCGTAGGGCTCTATCAGCAAGCATGGCGGCCGGCAGAAGGTTTTGGCTTAGTCTTCAGCATGAAAACCAAGTACAAGCTTCATATTCATCCTCTTGTATATTTCGCAGCAGGAGTCATCCACGGCTGCCCCGGAGCCAGCAGATCCATAGTACGAAAGTCGTCCCCAGAGAGTAACGCCACTTTAGCAGTCTTCAGTCGTGGGGCCAAGTCCTTGAACTCCTCCAGAGAAAGTGCTCGCAGTCCCCTGACTAGATAGACATCCCGAGCGTGCGAGCCAAAAAGTGCTGGGTCGATGCGGTAGTTGCGCGGCTTGAGTAGTCTTGGTAGATGGTCAAGCTCCAGAGCATAGTATGGCTTGTTGGTTGGACCTGAACAGAAGCAATCTAGTAGGCCAATTGTGAGTGCGTGCTGGTCAGGTGGAGCGTTGCAGTCTTCTTCGTGTAATGGTGCGATGGGTAGTGGAATCTCCAGACCACGATTTGTCATCGTAAAAGAGGCAGCCAGAAGGCCAGAGAGCCTACCAAGCCTGCCACAATGCTGATATTCTGCTGGAGATCTGGCCAGCACGCCCCGTGGATGGCCATTTTGATTGTCGTCGGGCTGCCATGCGAAGAGAGAGTGATCTGTGGAATTCCGCATGATCTCCTCCTGTAACCGACGAAACGCTTTTGGACCTTCTCCATACAGCATGGTAATGTTCACATCGAAGATACCCAAGAGCGAGTAGGCTATGTCCTCGATCCTCGTCGCCTTTCGCTTCGCCGCCCAAGACATCCGTTGCGCAATACTGTAAGTATGAAGGCCTCTTTTATGCGTGAGCAGGCGGACATCAATACCCGTGATCGAAGAGACTTGCTTGACTAGGTCCTTGAGATGGCCAAGCAATATCCAGTTTTGGTCGAAGAAATGCACATCTCGTGGCGCTAGTAGCTCCTGAAGAGTCCATGCACGAGTGAACCACCTACTACTTGCTAGCTGGTCTTCCCAGCCTGATCCCGCCGCTACATCTGCGAGGTAGACGTAGCAGACTTTGGCGAGAGAGTACCAGCGGTACATGCTATTGATGGTCTCCTGCAACTCGGCGCTGCTGCGCTTGTCGATACAGCATGTATCGGCCCATAGATATGGCAAGTCGTCTGCCAACGCTTGTTTGCAGGCATGGTAAATCTTGGAGTAACCTTGCTTGGTGGCTACTCTTCCAGATAGCACATCCTCGTACAGGACTTCATCATCTTGCCACGTATGGCTCAGGATTGCGTAGTCTGAGGCGACCTGGCTTGGTGGCTCCTCGTAGTCGATCACGTCCAGTGTACCCGCGCGAAGGACTCGCATGTCTTCCGGGCATGGCTGGAAGGGTGAAAGCTTGGATATCGGGATGCCTCAACGGGATGGCCGGGTAGCAGGTGAGCGATGGGCATCCACTTCCAGAATATTCAACGGGTCTAGCGACTCGTGTAGACACGCTGCTGCGCAACAACAGGATCTGGAGACATTGTCGTGTTGAACCGACAAGATGAGGATGTCGTATACAGGATTATAATCTGAGGGTGTTGAAGGCGGAGGGAAAGCCAGCTCTAGAACCTACCTTACAGTACTTACCTCAGCAGCCTGACCCACTTTTACTGCGACAAACGAAACGAAAATCGATGAGGAACAATTTAAAGAGGCAGCTGGACTCCATCACGCTGCTCATAGTCATCTTCCCCTTCCGAGCATCATATGAAGTTAAGCGAAAAGCAGCAAGTCAGATTGCTCGAACGGAGATGCGGCTTCTTTAAGATGATACTGTAGGCGCGCTCGTTGATCATCTTGAGCTTACACACTTCGCCTACACCTCGTAAACATCTAGGCTTGATTCATTGAGGTGAAATCGGCAAGAATATACTGTTATACCACCCAGGCAGCCTATCACTAAGGTACAAACGGCTTTGGCTGGTGCATCATCCGTTTCGAACGCATCCATGCCTGAGGTAGTCCATAATCCTTCAGCTAGGCACCTGGATATATGATCCTAGCAATACATAAGGGTGGATGATTATCTGGCTACTTAGGGGAGGTTGAAGTAGTACGACTCACAAGCTGAGTGCGATACCATGATCAAGCTAGAGATTGTCGAGCAAGCCAACAGAGCGCTGGTTCAGTCACGGCCGCTCGTTGCTGTATTTGTGGGTGCTGCCCAAGGCACTGGCGAGTATGCACTGCGCGAGCTTGCGAAGACACATGGTGTCGATGGAAAGGGCCTTAACGCCTACTTGGTCGCTAGAAACGAAGAGCGAGCTGAGAAGATTCTGGGACAATGCAGAGACGTATGCCCGAATGGCCACTTCCACTACGTAAAGGCTGGCGACCTTTCACTCTTGCGGGATGTTGATGCTGTCTGCACGCGGCTTGAGACGGCGTTCAAGGAGGACAGACCAGGAGGCAATGCGCCGAACATCGATATTCTGTGCTTAACCCACATCATCTCCCGCTTCGGACCTCCGACCTGTAAGTGACTCCCACCACTCTGCGATGAGTAGACTTGATCAAGGCTGATGTCCTCGGCGCAGTCACCGACGAAGGCCTCGAGACCACCATGTCTCTGCACTACTACTCTCGAATGCGCTTCATCACGAATCTGCTTCTGTATTTGACCACATCAGAGCACACAGCGCATATCATATCCATCTGCTCCGCCGGCGCTGAGATTCTATGGGGTACCTTCTATCCGGACGATCTCTCGCTTTCAAAAGATCCGAAGGCGCACTACACCTACGTCAACTGTCGTGCGCATACTACCCGCATGATGACCATGTTCTTCGAGACTCTAGCGCAGCAACATCGGGGCAAGCTGAGCCTAATACACTCCTATCCTGGTATGGTCTTCGGGCCTACGCACTGGTCGTCATTGCAGCCCATCTGGTTCCAGATCTTACAAAGGGTACTCTATGCCGCTCGTTACTTCATCGCAACGTCACCTGAAGAAAGTGGTCAGCGCACTGTCTTTTACGCCACTTCGCGATACCCTGCTCGAAGTGGAAGCGGTCAAGCTAGCAGAGATGTTGCGATGAGTACAGATCGAGTCGTCGGAGGCGGGTCTTACTCTTGCTGGTCTGGGAATGATGATATCAATGTTGAAAAGGCGTACACGGACTTGAAGAAGGATGGGTTTCAAGCCAGAGTTTGGGATCATACGAACGAGGTGTTGGAGACGATCTCGAATGGGCAGCGCTTCATCGAATAGTATCCGTATTGCAGCTTGAGGAGAACGAAATTTCTTCATTCACTTAGTATACAACGCTGTCCGTCCAAGCAACAATGTCTGCAGTCGCTGATATACTTTCACCATGTTCGACAAAAGAGTGCATTGTGTCCGCTAGGTGTTCCGTCTGCCACTGTACATCGCGGCCCAGAGCTTTCGCCACCACTCAGCCACCATCTGTAGTTTGCAGACAGATCGCGATAGTAAGAGATGTGTATGCTGGAGCCGGGGTGCAGAACTAAATCTCGCTTTTGACCGAACGCCAATGCGGAAGGTACGCCGGCCGTACGCCGGAAGTCCGCCAAACTCACCATCGCTGACGCAATTCTCCTTCGATCGAATCACGCATCTCACGCGATAATGCCGTCAAGATAACGCTTTACGAAACGGCATGCGTTACAGGTCAAGTATACTCTCTCTTCCTCCTTCCTCACCTTCTGTATCATCCTTGAAGCCTCTCTGTTGTCGCAGAATGGGCTCACTACCACCAGAGCGGCGCTTCAAAGTGTCCAGCGTCTGCATCATAGGAGCAGGACCCAGTGGACTGGTAGCAGCAAAGTATAGCTGGCAACTTCCGTCCTATGCTTGTCATGCTGATGGCCGGTAGATACTTGCGAGCCGAAAAGGCTTTCTCCCGCATTCAGATCTACGAACAGCGAGCCACAGTCGGCGGCATCTGGAACTATGTCCCGCACTCGTCACCCACCGCATACGACTCGGCCATCCCGCAAACCAATCCTTTTGCTGAAGCGGACAGGCCGATATGGAAACACAGCAATGCTTCGAAGATCCTGGGAGAGGACAAGCAAGAAAAGGCAGCTTTCTTGACACCGTTATACGACAGATTGGAGACGAACATTCCCAGGGGGCTGATGGGCTTCTCGGATCTGGACTGGCCGGGAGACTCTCAGCTGTTCCCGAAGCATGAGACAGTTATGGAATATATTGAGCAGTATGCTGAGGACGTACGGGATACGATCAGCTGGCGGACTCAGGTATTGGATGTGCAATTGACGGAGGATAAGCGGTGGACGGTCAAGACTCAGGAAGTATCCCATGGCAAGCCTGCCGAAGTGCGGGAAGAGACGTACGACGCCGTTATCGTGGCAAATGGCCACTTCAACATCCCGTATATCCCAGAAGTCAAAGGCCTCGAGAAGTGGAGCAAAGCTTATCCCGGCTGCATCACGCACTCGAAGTTCTATCGGAAGCCAGAGCATTTCACTGGGCAGAAGATCATCGTCGTCGGCAATTCTGCGTCCGGCGTAGACATTGGCGCGCAGATACAGACAACTTGCAAGCCACCCATAATCGTCTCATCAAAGTCTGAGTCTTTCTTGCTGGACGCAGAATCCACCAAAAAGCTGGACAAACCGCCAATCGCCGAGTTCGTGGTCAAAGACCGAAGTGTCCGCTTCGAGGACGGCTCCAGAGAGTCAGAAATTGATGCGGTGCTGTACTGTACAGGCTACTTCTACTCCTTCCCTTTCTTACAGAGCCTGGAGCCACCACTTATCACCACCGGCGAAAAGGTCGAGCACTTATATCAGCATATCTTCTACCAACCACATCCGACTCTGGCGTTTCCCGTGCTCAACCAGAAGGTCATACCATTCCCATTGGCAGAAGCACAATGTGCAATCATCGCACGAGTCTTCTCTGGGCGCCTTTCCCTTCCTACGGAGCACGAAATGAGACAGTGGGAGCTCGAATGGGCCAAGTCGAACGGCGACGGCAGGATGTTTCATGTGCTCAAGTTTCCGAAGGATGCAGATTACATCAATATGCTGCATGCCTGGGCAAGGGGGGCTGATGCTCACGACCGAGCAAAGCAGTCATCAGGTCATGAGAGTGATGGTGTTAGTGAAGGAGGTGCAGTGGGCAAGACGCCACCTTTCTGGTCCGGACGAGAATACTGGACTCGTGAACGTTTCCCGGCCATGAAGAAAGCTTTCCAGGATCTGGGTGAGAGAAGACACAATGTGCGATCACTGGCAGAGCTTGGCTTTGACTACGAAGATTGGCAAGCAAAGCAGGGCTGAGCGCGATTTCGAGAAAGCTATTCGTGGTGAACAACAGCGTAGGCATTTCCGCGATTGTGGTCGAATCTGCCGGCACCGACCACTCACCCGCCCACTGAATCAACGGCAATGCCCCCATTACGGCCTTCACTCCATGTGATAGCTCATCTACACTCCCATCGCAGAGAGGGTTGATCAGTGGCCGGCTCGAAACGCACGTGGCAGGACCACGATGTTCATCTACGCAAGCGGCCGGCCGTTCATTAGGGGTGGAGTCACGGCTGTACATGCAGATGAGGGTGCTCCATACGTAAGATTGGCTTCACTTATATACTTGCATGGAGCCGTGCTGACCCGAGCAGGATGTGGAAGCTTCCGAACTAGCCGTCCTCCAAGACCCTCGCATGAGTGCTCGCAGTCCAGCATGGCGACCTCTGAACTCGCCAATATCGCAAGGCGAAGCACTAGCACGGCTACTTGCCCCATCAGCACGCAAACACGGCTTCAACGACGCCCTGAACCGGATCCGCCAGGCAATGACTATGCCACACGCGAGCGGCAGTCTACTTATCAAGATGTTCAATGACCTCGACACCGTCATCTTCCATAACAAGCTCCGGCGTCGGATATACCTCAGCTGGCGCCATCTCACACAAGAAGACCCAGAACTCATACGGAACCCTTGCGCCGTCCTCTGGGGCCAGACAAACCCAGCCAATTTCCATGGCCAGCCGCGTATCGCCATCGAGTTGAATACCCAGGCTCCGTGGAGCGCCACAACGAGGAAGGATTCGGTTGGCGTTTTAGTGCATGAAATGCTTCATGCTTGGTTCATGGTACACTGCGGGATACCGGATGATGTGATTGTGGCGAAGGGCATGGATGTGCATCATGGTTATTACTTTCACAGCGCTAGGGTGCATATCGAGCAGAACTTTGGCTTGGTGTTTCTAGAGCCCGTGGCAAGTATGCGATGATATCCAGGAGCAGATCTCGTTCAGTGGCACGGAAAGCGAGGATGTCGAAGTTGTATTTCGCGTTGTTGGCGGTCGAATGTATCTATTGTCCATAGCTGCGAAACCGCTCGTCCACCGGAATATTCTGTCTTCCTGATCATCCAAGATCTTGGCTCCAAGATTACGATTTGTCGTCTGAACTCATGACGCGCTAGTAATTTCAAGCATGTGATCTAGTGAATGTATATATTCTATACACACACGACTTCAGCCACAACATCTTGTAGTATCGATAGCAAAATGGAGGTATCGGCCACAGATAGCCCATTACAGCTTCGGGAGGCAATAACAGCTCACGGCTTAGCTGGTAATCCTCGTCCTTCCACATCCATGTCAACTCCACAACCCTCAGCCATTACTTTCCTCCGGCAAGAAAGAATGGCACGGATAGAGGCCGATCTCAAGGTCCTCACTACAGACCAGATGATAAGGAAGTACAATCCATCAGGCTACGAAGCTATCAAGGCGAATGGTGGCATTATGGAGCCGGGCATCACAAAAATGCAGAAGCGAAGACGGGACAACACCGTCTATGATGAGCCGGTCAAGCCCAACCCGATGACCCCGGCTGATCTGTGGGGTATACGGTTACCATACTTCACGCAGAGTGAGTTCGCCAAGGTCAATGCTGTGTTGGACACTTACAAGAAGCCACGTCGAAAACCTAGGCGAGAGGCGAGGGAGATGGGTGATAGTGAGATTGCGAGCGTGGTGGATAGGAAGGGAGTGGTGCGGCAGGCAAGGAGGGCTGCGAGAGGTGAGAAGTCGATACGTGATGGGGATATTGTGGCTGGTGCGGTTGTGGATGGTAGAGTGGGCAAGACAAGGAAGAAGGACACGCGGGTGCCTGCTGGCGAGGGCACAGATACTGCGAGTGGCCCGGCAAGCAACAAGCGACTTACCATAAGAAGCAAGAGATGATAATTTCTCGAAACCGAAGGTTATCTCAAGGTTATCTCTTGTTATTGGGCGCCCAGCCGTATCCCAATTAGAGTCAAGATGCCTGTGTTCTTGCTTGCGAATATGCACCACGAGTACGAAACAGCTAATGGCAGTCAAGGCGTCGTGGTCGACATGATGTCTACGAAGGACGTGCATCTCCCGCGAGTGAAAGAAGACACAAGAGCACGATCTGGAGCACCGGATTCTTCGTGGCGGACATGTTCAACATTAGGAGCGAGAGATACCTTTGCTCCTCGATCGTATGCCAGAACGATGGCTGCTGTTGTTCGATTCAAGAACGAAGTAGGATAAGCGATCTTCCCATGGTGGGACGTGCATGGCTTGTGTTCGACGTGCACGTCCTGCGCACAACGCAGGTATGTCCACCACAGTCGCTGGGCCAGCCGCTCGAGAATCTCTGCAACATCCACAAGCCAGGCGTAGAGCCTCGCAATCTCATCTCGCGCACACAGATTCCGCTTCTTGCTGCTTGGGCTATCACCACACACAAGTCGCAAGGGATGACACTGGATAAAGCTGTCATTGATATAGAGAGGGCATGGGAGCACGGCCAGATGTATGTTGCCATGTCAAGAGTGAGATCGCTGGCTGGTCTGAGGGTTGATGGCGTTGCGATTGGAAGGGCAAGCAGGGCAGATGAGACGGTCAAAAGTTCATTAAGGATATCAAGTGGGTAAAGTCCGTTTGAGTATCATTTCTTGCTTCTCAAAGTGGAGTCAATACCGCCACATCGTACACATCAATGCACCGCAATCTATTAAGCCAGAGCGGTCCACAGTCCAACAACACCACCCGCAAGCATCAATGCCGCTCTCAGACCATTGAGCTGGGCGAATTTGCCAAGGAGCTCTCTCGCCTTTCTGTCCTGTTCTGGAGAAGAGTCTTGTGTAGTCTTGCTCTGCGGTCCACTAAGATCCGTGAACTGGTTCGCTTGGTCCTCCCCGTCTAAGGCGTCCTCAGCCTTGCGATCTTTTGGCTTTGCGCCACCTTGCTTAGCAGATTTCTCACTGCGAGCACCTCCCAGTTCTTCGTTCATCTTGATGATGGCGAAATTTGTCGGGATCATGAGGAACATGGTCACGGGTGCAATTCCGAACGACAAGGCTGCCGCGGCCAGGTAGCCCGACACTTTGCCTCCTTGCAGAGCATATGTCAGGGTATTGCTGAGCTGATTCGGTGGTAGAGCGTTGATGGCGAGGTAAATGAATCCTGCTGCTGAGAGGCCAGCCGCTTGTGGGAAGATGTGCGATCCTCGGGAGAAGTACCAACGGAGTTGCGGTAGCGCGCGTGATGCGGGCTGGGACTGAAGCTGGGGAATTTCGATTAGAGACGTTGTTGTTAGACTGCCTGCTGCCAGGAGCGAGGTGGTGATGCTGAAGATCTGAGTTGCAGTGGTGGTCGACGCCATGTTGAATACTAGGTGAGTAGACGCTTAAATGTGCGAAAATGGTCGGTCTGAGTAGGTTGGGTAGGTAAGTAACGTACTCGCCATATGTATACGATCCGTTGCCTTTCCCATGAATGTCGAGTCAAAAGTGAACTGATGAGCCATGACGTAGGGCTGAGGCTCGGAACGGTTGCGTTCGTCATCCGAGCCTTTTCGAAGGCCTCCGCACCCAGAGTGTTCACGGATCGCTAATTGCGTTATAGAATGCTGTGAATACATGCACAGTACGTAAATCGGACGTCTATCCTTCGTATCCGAAAGTCGACACACCAGTACTTTGCCGATCCGTAGGCCAATCCCACTGATGCCCAGGACGGGTCGGGATTTGATTCTGTTCAATGGCAGCCGAATTGTCTTGGAAGCTCTCCACGGGCATCACATCCAGATCTTGACGTACGACTGAAACGAAAGTCATGCCCAGATCTTTGTGGTCGACCGATAGTCTGATCTCGCCATCCGAAGTATATCGACGTTCTGGCATGCCAAGGTGGCTAGCGTTTGGCCAAAGAAGTTCCGAGGGAGGCTTGTCGTAGATCTCGTCGTCTTCGAGGTATGGGACCAGACTTCTCAGTACCGAGTGCGCTGCTTCGTTCGCAGATACGATGCTGGTGAAGGCGCCTTGGAGCTCACAAAGATCATCGCCTTCTTCACGTAAGGTACGGAAGATGACGATGAAGACTTGAGCGACAGCTGGCTGGGCAGGTGAAGCATGCCTTGGAATCATTGGCAGGCCGTGTGGTGTGGCGGCAATATCAGTGGTCGAAGCCTCACCATTCTTGAATCGTCTGTCGAAGTTGTCTCCCGCATTAAGGTCGGTAGCTAAGAGAGGAGGAAGAAGCACAGGATGATCATGCGCCATCACATCTTCTGCAGCAGACTCATACACTTCATCTACTACCTCAGTGTCTGCCTGGATTGCCTGAAGTCCTTCTTCAGTATGAGATGGATCGTCGACAGCGGCAGAAGACTCGGGCTTGTTGCCAGCCTTTGCCTTAATATCAACCATTTGCTCATCATGCAGGTTTGGAACCTCTGCTACATCCGCAACGATCTCCTCACCCTCCAGTGGCTCGTCCTCTGTCTCCTCCTCACTACTCTCCTCGTCCGCCTCTCCCTCCTCTGCCGAAGTGTGCCCTTCCACCTCCACCTGCTCTTCCTCACTTCCTGTCCCAGCAGCTTCCTCGCCTTCACTTTCCTTCTCGTCGTCTTCACCGTCAACAGAGTCCTCCACAACATCCTGCATATCGACCTCGATTATTTGAGCAACACCCGGTCGTTCCTCAAGCTCGAACATCCTATGATACTCCTCCAAGTCATCTCGAATCATCTCATTCTCCCGTCGTAGATTCTTGATCGTGGCTTGCAGCTTTCGTAACTGTGCAGTTGATTCGTGGCGAGCCTCGTAGAATTGTGGTTGGAGTATATGACCCCATGGGAAGTTGCGAGGTGCGTGATGCTCGCATTGATGAGTCTTGCACTTCTCCCACTGCTCGAAATCGATGGCCAAGTGGTACGGCGCCATAGCTGGCAGGACTTGTGATGGCCTCACGACGGATCGTGTCTGCTGATTGTCTGGCAAATAGAGATGGTGAGGTTCAACCTGCACCGAAGGCCGTCCAGCAGCCTGGCCATCTCGTTTCCGTTTAGCCATTACGATGACGGCGGTGATGTATCACATGCATCTTCAGAGCCATCCCGTCAATCTACATCTTGTAAAGCAGAGTGGAGACCATGCAGGAGATCGTCAGGAACAGACGACACATCATATTTGAAATATTCCATGTCAACCCCACAGACTTCCGGCGTTGGTCATCGGTCGGTGAACTTCAAACGACTGCAGAAGCATTCATCATCTCACACCGTACATCATGTGGAGTCCCAGGAGTCTGCAGGTACAGTGACAGCCATTGAGGGGAAACCGAGTTGACGATACTACTCTTCGTAGCAGGAGAACGTGTGCACAGGAGAACGTGTAAAGGTAGGTGTTGGTTATCGGACGTCTTCGCGATTCCTGCCAACGATTCGATAGTCACTGCTCCAGCAGCTACACGAGATTCACTGTAGAAATGACTGCTGAATGGCCGTCAAGAGAAATCGTGAATGTGCCTGAAATCCTGCGGATTTTCACTTGCTCAAAGGCACAGTCAAACAAGATCCGCCGACCCCTGTTCCACCTGTCGGCGTTCGTTTGATTGGGTAGATCCTGCTCGGTGTCTTTTTCGGGTGCTTTTACGTGATCGTGGTTGGTCGAGGAGTTCCGTATCCGAACTCTGCTGGGACGAATGTTACGTTTGTCCCATTGTCCCACCTGCTGGGACATATAATGCCATGTGGGCGCCTATCGCCTATTATAAGTGTCCGTCCTCGACGCAATGGCTTATCGGTATGGCTCTTCAAAGTCCTACAGCTCTCGTTGCACTGGGTTTTATTCGCGGAAGCCTCCTTCTCCTAGCTATCGGCGGGCTTCTGGGTATCGTCGGAACTATACTGGCGGTGGTCAGCGTCCATACAAGCGGCGGGCAGGTTATTCTTCCGGTGTACACCGTCGGGTTTACGGACGATCCTCCAGGCCGAGAACCGTTAAGTCGAAGTCTCAGACTGCGGAGCAGCTCATCGTCCGAACCTACAGTCGAGAAGCCGTAAGTCCAGGTTGTCGGCGGCTTTCTGTCAAGCTAACCGGTCACTGGGTAATCGTGTCTCCCCAGATCAAGTGGGATTGAACGGGTTCATATCCCGCGTTACGCTCCTGACGTATCCTGATCTCGTTCGAGATAAGTGCCATGAATCTTCTGGGAAGGTCAAGTGGGTGGGTGTTACTTGTAATACCACTTACGAGCTTACTGACGGCGGCCCGTTCGTCCACCGTCGCGTCATCTTCAAGTCCACCATCCCCTGGCCAGCATCGCCGATCTATCGAACCGCCGCGAACCCTTCCTCTGGTCTTGGGGTCGGTGACTACGCTCGTTCCTGTGCCGCCCCTCTGGCCCCGGACGCTCTTGTAGGATGTTTACGTCGATTGTTTGCTCAAGACACGGTCAGAGGCCTCATCCAAGGCCCCACCTCCAACTTCGCAATCACAGTACTATCCGACGAAAAGTACCAATGTACCGGTGTAGATAACGGGAAGCGGTTGACGAAGAAGTTTTGGAACGGATTCGAGAAGGAGCCTGCGATGCAATACGCGATTGGTACGAACGGCTCGTTGACTGCGCAGTTGGCAAATTCCCCAACCTCGCAGCACATTTATTTGGTCGACATATTCTCTTACGGATTGGAAGGCCTAGATGCGTCGTTACCTTTGCTGAAGTCTGATGGTTCCGGTGGCGAGGAGCCGCCTATGAAGCGCACGAAAAGTGAGAGCAGCACCGAAATTGACATGGACGAGGGATGGGATAAGGTCAGTAAGTCGCTGCCGTCGACATCTGGTCACATTCTCCTTGGCTCTCGCGATGAGCGTCAAGTGTCAATTACAAACGAGATGAAGCTTTATTTTCGCAATGTATAGAGTCTGCATTGCGTTTGAGATATGCCGCTCCTCTGCTATGTGGTCGAGAATTACCATGTTCGGCCGGTTAGGGTTAGGGTTTGGGTTAGGAAGGGTTAGGGTTAGTATCTGATTTCCCTTAGGGTTAAGTGTTGCGGGGGTTAGGGTTAGCTGGTACGTCTGTCCCACGAGAACTTCAAGTGTGGGCCAAGTGACTCAGAGGATAGGACACGTGTCCCAAAGACTGAGGTCGCCCCACCGTGTGAGGGGCAGAATAGGCTCCCGTGGCACCACTATGCGACCGCCTAGCCGTGCCGTGCGAGGGTGGAAACGATTAGTGTGGAGGGCGCGAAGGGCGACCGTGGCGCGCGGTTGGTGGGGGGCGCAGACCATTTGTTCCAGCGCTAATGCGCGCAGATATGCGAGGACGTTTGTCCCATGGGACTAGCGCGGTTGGTGGCGTGGGCGCCTGGGTCAAGGCGTCTGGGCTTGGCATGATACCTTCTTAACATTGTGTATCATGCCTGTCTACATGAATGATCGTTTGCCCCTGTTCACCGCCATTAGACCTTTCTTGCACAGATTCACACTTTCATAGATACAGATCAGCTAGGTTGTCCTTCGACATCCATACAGTCCATAAACCACAATCAAACATCGACACCAAGAAGACTTTCGTCATGCCTACTTCGTCCTCAAACAGCAACTCTGGTAGCTCCGGCTCCAGCAGCTCCAGCGGTGGCGGCTACGAAATCACCTCCAGCGGAACCAACGACCAGGTAAACCCTCTGAGCGCGTACTACATCTAGCGCATTCTGACACGAGTCCAGGGCAACCACTATTGCTCCCGCGATTACGGCTCCTCTACTAGCAACGACAACGCATACCACTACTCCAATACCGATGGCATGAGCATGTTGTCTTGAGCTATGTATACCAGTACTAACATGTCACCAAATAGGCTCGTACTACTATTCCAACGCGGACGGGTCTACCTACCATCAAAGTGCCGACGGCAACAGTACCTACACGCCACCCAGCGGTAAGTAAGCGGCGAAACCAGGAGAAGCGGTGGTGGTATCGAGTGCCGGTGGACAGTCGCATTCGAACGATGGTGAGACGTGCGTTTTGAGGCAGAAAGCTCGTGCTATGACGCTTCAGCGATGCAGACTGAAAGATACCATATACAGACTCTAGAATGCAGATTTTGGAGTTCCTGTATCACACGGTCCATGATCTGCTTCCATGAGAATGTCCTTGACCCTGCCAAGCTACACGATAACCACTAATCCAGCACGACTAGCGGCCCTATTTCAGCCTTGCCATTCGGCCGAGATGACCACGCCAAGGGCATAGCTAGATCCTCGAACCACTGCGCGCCCGCACCAAAACAAAAGTACGCCGGCATCTTTTTGAGATCAGGTTCGCCACTCTGGCAAAAGTCACTGCGCCAGGCATGTCGAAACTCGTTGGCGATGAGCTTTTGGTTTTCAAGACCGAAGTTATTCTCGTAGATCTGTATCCAACGTGCGATTGTCAACGACATGTCTTGAGACGATGGTCGTCTAATGGGCACGGCACTGTTACCTCGCTCCTGCTTGGCGGCAGCGGGTGATGAGCGGGGGCCGTGGGCGGCTGATGTGATGGCGCGAGCCCCTGAATCATGATGACCGGATCGCCTGCGACGGAAGAAAAGATCACTCGGCGGTGTGGGTAGACCAACATGCCTGACTGCTGTTGGTTTGACGGGTGGGTAGGGAGAGCTGCTTGTCCGAGCACCAAGGACAGACGGTGAAGATCCAGGAAGAAACATCGATCCATCCTGTGAAATTGCAGCACAGTCTGACCCGAGACCACCACTCATGAAGGCATCAAACGTGCGCTTTCGTGGATGTGATGAAGCAGTCGTGGACCCATCAGATGTGTTCAAATCGACGTCGCTAGAATGAGAGTTCTCCTTGTCAGAAGTTGCGATTGTGGTAAAGGCAGGAGATCTGAGGTCATTGGCGATATCCTTATCGGGCAAAGAGGTAGCCAAAGAGACAGGTGTCCGAGGGTTAGGCCCTTTGTCTGCTCGCATCAGTAGTGCATTGCAAAAGATGCCTGAAGTCAAGACTCACATTGCTGATGGAAGTTGCACTTATGCGATGTCTTGTTCGCTCGACAACACGTACAAGCCCCTTGATCAAAGTGATTCATCACGACACACCCGATCAAGGGACCATGTCCGTCCCGGCAAGAGTCGCAAGGCACGACTTCTTCGCCAATCTCGTGGACTATGATAGCTTCGGCTTTTCGACAGTCGCTGAGGTTGAACTTCTTATGCCGCTGCGCAAAGTTCTTGGCAAACATAGCCGTACGTCGACGAGGGTGTTTGTCCTTGGGCCACTTTGCAAGGGTTGGACGCAGCTCTCCTTGTTGGCCGAACAACTTAATTGCTGTACGTGTTTCGATGGCTTGGTGTACGAGCTTCACCATGCCGTAGTCGACATCGGCTTCGCCAGGTACCATGAGCTCGGGTGGGTCGCCAACGGCAGGTGAAGCGCTTGATGTGGAGGTTGGAGACTCCACTCGTACGTTTCTTCCGTCTTCAGTCGGAGGGGTCGAGCTTTGCAGTAGCAAGGTAGCTGAGCTCGGTAGAACTTTACTGAGGCCTGGTGGGCTGGACGGTACACTGTGAAAGATCTCGTCGATGTCGTTCCACAACTCGGTATCAGACCCAGCCGTGTCGTCGATCTGCGTACCAGTATCTCCAGCGTTTGGACTCAAAGTACAGGAGAGTGATAGGGACGCAGCACTCTGAAAAGTTTGCGAATGGGCTTCATGCTCAGGGGTGGACTGACTGGACACATCCACCCATAGGTCGTCCATGAGATGATCATCGAGCCACTCGTCCTCCCATCGAACAAGCCAAGAAGCTTTGCCGTGCTCGTCAATATCTGCCTTGCTGCAAGTCGTAATGTAATACCGCTTCCGAGCGAGGCTGACGAAAGCACGAAAGCTTGTTCTTTTATCAAACTTCACCATATGCGCAGGCATCTTTACCTCAGCCCAGCGGACCCAAGTCATCCCATCTCGCCTACCGAGGACTCGTCTGACAACCCAGTGTTTTCTGTTCCTTAGCTCGAAAGCTTGAGCAGTAACCACAGCCGTCCTGGGCGACACAGGCTGAGATGTCGAACCGGGTGCCATTGAGAGCCTTGAATTGATACTCGAGAGAGTAGACAAGTGCTGCTCATCATCATCATCATCAAGATCAAGGTTGTCAGACGATGGTGTACGTCCGCCCGGAGCTGATCGGGAAGGAGTCCGATGAGCGTTTCGTGCTCTCAACCGAGACTCCGGCATGGTAGTTGCGCTGTCTATGAGCTACGTCAGCGGATACAAGCGCAGGTGAAATCGTAGTTGTTGCTCGAAGCACCACCTGCTTTATCGGAAGTGCAACTTACTGGCCGAGGTGCATGAAGTTGTGCTGCTCGAGGCGGTGTTGATGCTGGCTGGCGTTGAGGCAAGCTGGCTAGACCTTATTGCCTGGTGAGAGTCTCTTGTGGTGCGTCGTCTTCGTGGCGAAGGCGAATAGGTATCATCTCGGGTCATTGTAGCGACAGAATATTGGTGGTGCGTAGAGCTTGGCAAGGTTTGAAGGCAAGGCGAGCTCTGCTAACAGCATTCACGCGTCGTGCTTTGATCACGCGAATGTGACGCGAGTCTGCCGCGCCCTCGCAGATACCGCCATGAGACTGAGTACTGAGCAGTACGCTGTGACTTCGCTTGCAGGGAGTAGGGCCTGGCCGGGGCACAGCCCGGTCAGCGACATGAAGGCCCACAATCGTATCCAATTGTCCGCAAACACTGGAAGCGGCCCATGACATCCAAATGGGCGATTGACGGATCTCCCGACATGTCGCAGGGAGGAGGGTATTAAGCCGGCTGGACTAAGGTGCTCATAGCGCGACAACGGTCGCCCTGCGTAGCTGGATCATGCGAAGTCCTTGATATCGCGAAATCTAGAGTTCAAAGGCCACAAGTTCGACACATGTCGTCGCAGTGGGATGAACATGGTAGCACCAAGTCACTTGAAGGAGCTCGACATAGCACAGCCGCTTTGGTCTTGTTGCTTACAGCGCTCCCCTCCTGCCGTGAGGTGACACTCATCGATACGCAGATCTTGCTACGATGCGCTGGGAGCCGGGCGATGTCGGCTTCCGACTGGCAGAGCCAGCAGAAGTAGGGGTTGATGACCTTTGTAATAGATCACTCTTCGCACTGCAGAAGCTCGTGCAGGGTACTGCCTTCCAGTAATCTGTACAAACAACCGTCCTATGCAGACGACAAGGTCGACTCAATACCTTTGGTCCTCAGACTGGACAGATGATATAACAAGACCAGTCAATTCGTGATCGTCAGTGTGTATGTGTGAAGTGTCATGTTGTATGGCAGGGACTTTCTTCTGCATGGCGCTAGTCTTCGTGCATCGGCCCCACTCTTCCGACATTCCAGTCCCTTGGTTCACAGACTTCTTGTGCGATGTGACAGATCCTAAGCCATCTAGCTCAGGCATGGGCATGGAAGACGTCGATAGATGTGAAGCTGAGCATGCTGGCAGCATCAGTTCGCAGTCAGGCATGTTCAACGAGTCCTTCTTCCCGGTATCTTTCCTGTGTTCAAGTCAGCTTTTGTATGCTTTGATACTCCTGCAGTAGTCTCGATATCTCTCTGTCAGTGTCAAATTCGAACTTCCATTTGCGAGGCAAATATGTCGCTCCCTCCTCCAAAGCGCAAGCGTGATGATGAAGAACAAGAAATGACACAAGCCAGATGCAAGCGCTCGCCGGAGCCTCCCATCATAACCAACGAGGTTGATCTGATGGACATACCTGCATTTGTGCCACAGACCATCAGCAACGCCGATGCTGAGAGAGCGAAAGAAGCCGCTTCTTCCGACCCGATTGTGCAGCTATCGGACGAAGACCTTGAGAACGTGGCCGTGATCCGTCGGCAGCGCCCATCCGCTAAGCAGTACGAGGCCACGATCGAGACCTTTATCGAGCAGGCTATGAGAAAGCAGTTCTTGCTCGAACCAGACCATGGGCCGCTTGCAGCAATGGCATACTTTGACAACATCAGAGCTGCCGCCTTGGACAAGGGCGCAATGCAGGAGTCGGCGGAACAAACGTGTTCTTGGCTGGTCGTTGGCTGGCAGAAGAGAGTTGCCGCTTGGTGAGAGTAAATACCTCTTCATGGCTAGGGCCTTGCTGATTACGGGGCTCGTGATCGATAGGCTCGGACGTTCAATCAGATCTCTCTCAGAACTGCAAGACATCAGCTGCGACATCGCGACCAATGCCGAACAAGCAGGTGGTATCCGCACTAATGATCGCCTCGCACGAAGTCTGTTCGAGTGCATCGATGACTTCCAGCACGAGACTATTGATGGCACAAGAACGCTACCTCCCAGCCCACCACAGTCTTTCGGCCGAGAGGTGTCTCAAAGTGGAAGCCTTCTTGGCCCTCTGCTGGAGCATCTCAAGGATGATGCAGAAGCATACGGTGGTCACGAGCAGCAAGTCCACCCTACCACGCCCTCGATTGGCACTCAACAGCAGATTAATGCCCAGCTGACGACTCACTGAGATAGACGACCAAGTCCGGTAGCTTCAGTGCCTCGCCAAGCTGAATTGACCAGTGCCATTAGTGAGGCGATGGCGGCGCAAAGCGTCAAGCTCATCGACCTACAGTCACGCTTCCCGCAAGCCTTCGACCTCTTCTTCTTCCACCACAAGCGTGCCAGAGCTGAGCAAACAGGGTACGGCTCCGAAGCCGAGAGGTCCTCTAATGAGCCAACCAAGCGTGCGAGCCGTGAAGAGTTTGACTCGCTATCAGAGCGTGGTCGGAGTGCCTGGATCGAGCTTCACAACATTATGGTGGAGATCGACAAGGAAGAGCTCCTCGAACCAACAATCACGGCCAAGTTCTTCTCCAAAGGTCGAGCTCATTCGCCTGCAGTGTTGAACAGTCCAGACAATATGGTGGATGGTGCTGTAAGTTTCAGTGATACTCCACCGTCGCATGCTCTTCCGCTAATGCAACCACACAGTCGAATGCATTGCCAAGCCTACCTTTGGAATTGGAAGAGGAAATGTCGACGCCTTCAGGAACAGTCCAGAGGCCGATCAGGCAGCAGCCGCCTATTCCAAAGCCGTTATTGCCAACCAAGAATCGCACATTCATCGTGGGCTACGAGAAGCTTGATCAAGCCAGTCGCATATTCGTTGCCGTGAATTGGGAAGCCAAGTCAGACAGCAACGAGTACAAGAAAGATGCCTTAGTCCGTGCTTGCCAGAAGAGCATTCCTGGAGGCAAGGATACAGTGGTCTTCAACTCACGACATTACTTCAAGAAGCGAATAGTAGCTTTCACTTTCCTGGACATCACAATTGCACGACGAGCCGCCTACCAGACATTCGTCTTCGGCAAGACCAACCCCAGAGCGATCCCATGGCCAGTATCCGTGCCAACCGTCTTCATGACCTTCGACATGGTCCGAGACGGACCTCGTGTCGCACGCAAAGATGCACTATTCGCTGGCATTCACAACGCCTTTCCGGATCTTCGCATTCATTTCCGCAAGGAGAAGACACCGTCCAAGAGTGATTCGACAATGTGGCTTGTCTTGTTTGACGCATCGCCAGGCTGCCTTCGCTTCTCGGTGACCGTGTTGCAGGAAGACAACGAGAGCTACAAGCCCGTCTGGTTCGAGCCTGTCGCACCGGAACGTGCCTGTCCCGTCTGTACCGACCCTCACCCTGCGCAGCAGTGCGAAGGCTTGCAGGCGGTTTCGTACAAAGAACTGAAGATCTCAAAGCATCACGAGCAGTACATGAACAAGCTGCTGTAGCACTATCGGTGGTCCTGTGCGCTCGACAAGAAGGTGTGGGGGACTGATTAGTTTGTGGCTGATGCTGGTTTCAACGTAACATATGAAATTTATAGATTAATCCATGTGCTGAACATCTTCTCCGCTACGAAGATTGCCATTATAGCCGTGGCCGACGGTCGCCATTTGACATAGGATGGGCACCAATAGGCTGATTGGTGTCCGAATCTGGTGGTGGAAGTGATGGTTTCCTGACAAAGAGGTGTACGTAAGTGTAGAGGTGGTGCTAGTGCCGTTGTGCCACGTCTGCGTCGCATTGCATGGAATAGGTACTTGATGAGGAAGTGTATGAAGGCTTAGATCGACCAGCCTGTTGAGGACTGATGACAAGAACAAAGAGGGACGGTGGAGTTGCGATTGGTGCCTCGGGCAAACTCAGCCCTACCACACGGCTTGGCATAGTTCTAGTCCTAGCCCTGCCGCGATGAATCAACGCGTCGTCTGACCCATTCCCATCCTTCATCAACGGTCCATGCGGACAGTCGCAATCTGACGGCCAACGCAAATTTAGTAGGTTTCACGCTGCGATGATGTTGAGCTCCAGGTTTTACCGGGAGCGATTCGCTTTACTGGAGACTAGACCGTGTACTGGAAGAACGTTCATTACAGGAAGGCGTACGAGGACATTGAACGCGAGCATAGGATCCGTGGGCTACGCCACTCTCATCAATGGCGCTTGAGGCTTACTGTCTGATAGGCCAGAGAGCTCCTTTGCTGACAGCTAGTGATGCACAGGAGAATGTACCTACGTGTGAAGTGCTTTCGGCCCCTTTTACGTACTCATACGCTCAGGTCGCTCCTACACTACTCCTCGTCCTCGCCACAACGGAGTCACTTATAGCACAGAGCTACCTATGCTACATAGGACTTCTTTGATGACCAGATCTGACCCGACTTGATTTACTGCCAAATTCTGCCATGCTCGCCAACATGACCGCCATTCTACCCTTCTTTGCGGCTCTCCCATGGCTGGCATCTTCAACAACATTCTCGACAGCAAGCCGCCTGAACATCACCGTATCGGCAGCGCGGCATGGGAGATCAGTACTCCAATGCTGGCAGCTGATCACTCCACCCGTCTCTGCAAGTATTGGAAATGCTTCATTTACGTCGGAGTCTTTAGGAGGTCTGGAGAGTGGCTCTGTCAATATATTCTCACCTGGACTAAATCTTGGTCTTCACGTCGCTCCAACGAAGCAGTAAGTACTGTCCACAGCCTTTTCTGAGAAGACACAGCTAATCTCGAGAGGAGGTGGACCATCGTGCTGGCAGGCTCTATCAAGGTATACTTGCAGGAAAGACCGGGTCAAGCAGACACTGGCTTCATCACTGCTGGACTCAATGGTGTGCTCTTCTCGGCAGACACTGCGGATGTCAGTCTAGACGGTCATATCACCGAGACTGTCGAGCAGACTATGTTGCTCTTTCTGCCCACGTTGGGTGGCGCAGAGCCGGAGCATGTGCTCCTGCATGACGGTCCGTGTGCTGGACAAGACTTGATGAGTTAAATCTACAAGCTCTTCGTGCTTGGCTGATAGTCACAGAGTGGTGCAAGAGAGCTGTGTGCTTCTGATGATGATCTGGTGATGGTGAGGACGGTCAGCGTGAGCTATTCAGGCCTAGTGCTTTGCTTGGGCTTCGATGTGCGTCGACCAGACTCTCCCAATTTTCTAGTCATTTCCTCCACCTCCATCTCAGCATCACAACAAACGACTTACCCATCCGAGTGCCTTGCTCGACCACGTTGCGATGCTCTCATCTCAAGGGGGTTGAGATCGGCACGTAAGGATGCTTAATCAGCATACTCGGCATCCCACGTTTGGCTTTGCTCGACCGCCACTGGCTTTTCACGTACATTGCTACATGCACACGATTGGCACCTCTCAAGCGACTCTTACCATCTAATTATCAAGAGATAGCAGCACTATCCTGTACTCCCACTGCGTCAACGTGCAATGCATGCCACCTCGCCATGATATTCGGCAGTAGTGCCAGCCAGCTTGTGGCAGATGCATATAAGCCATGGCCGTCGCTGCCGCCTGCTCATGCTCTCGTGCCTTAGTGATCTTGATAGAACGCCATAATTGGATCATCATGATGGCAGCTCTGGTATGTACAGCTCTTTTTGCAGGACTGACGCTCAGTGCACCGTTTCGAACTCGACAATACGGTAATGGCTCGAACTTGCCACCCTTGAGATTCAGAGTAGATGGGACGTTCCAGCTCTCGATCTTCGAGGACCTGCACTTCGGCGAGAATGCATGGGTAAGTGTAGTATTGTCATCTTTTTGTGCCACGGGAAGTAACATTTGCTGCCCAGGATCCATGGGGACCACAGCAAGACATCAACAGCGTCAAGGTGATCAACAAAGTGCTTGATGCTGAGCCCAAGACGCAGCTTATCGTATTAAATGGTGATCTGATCACGGGTGAGAACGCATATCTAGGCAATGCTACCGTCAAAATCGACCAAATCGTCGCTCCTTTAGTGCAGCGTGCGCTGACTTGGGCATCCACTTACGGCAATCACGACAGCTCTTACAACCTCTCCCGCGAAGGTATCCTCGCTCGAGAGCATCAATGGCCCGGTGCTCGGACTGCCAATATGGTGCAAGGAGGTGAAGCGGGTGTGTCGAACTACTACCTACCCGTCTATCCTTCTTCAGGTGCTGATGAGCCTTGCCTCATATTATGGTTTTTCGACAGTCGCGGCGGCTTCCTGTACCAGCAACGAAATGCCTCTGGCGATCTCATCGGTCAGGCGGATTGGGTAGACAAAAGTGTAGTTGACTGGTTTACGATCGTGAACGCCGGATTCGTCGCCACCTACGGCAAGACCATCCCGTCTCTGGCCTTTGTGCACATCCCAACGAATGCTTCGCAAGCTTTGCAGACGGAAGCTAAGGTCGATCCCAATCATCAGCCGGGCATCAACGACGACTATATTCTCGCCGGGCAAGCTCAGGGCTGGTGCGCAGATGGTGCCAACACATCGGATTGTGTCTACGGCGGTCAGGATGTTCCTTTCATGCAGGCGCTCACTTCCACGCCAGGCTTGATCGGCGTGTTCTCCGGCCACGACCATGGTAAAGCGAGAAGCTACAGTACTGGTATAAGTTCTAACGCTGACAGCATGCAGGTGACACGTGGTGCTACAAGTGGGACAAACTCCTACCTGGCATGACCGTCAAAGGCAACGGTATCAACTTATGCTTTGGCCAACACACTGGCTACGGAGGCTATGGCAACTGGATCAGAGGTTCTAGGCAGGTCTTGATCTCGGAAGCTATGCTCCAGAACCTCGAGGCCGAAACGTGGATCCGTCTCGAAAGTGGCGACGTCGTGGGGAGTGTCAACCTCAATGCTACCTACAATGAGGATGTTTATCCCGTCACGCCGAACACGAAGACCTCTTGCCCGACGTGCAATTACACTATCATCACAAATATGCCTGGCACATAGAATAATCGAGTACATATGGCTTTGTATATCCTTGCCTATGATACCAGGGAAATCTTGTCCGTATGCTAAAACTAAACGCAACCGATAACTTCCATTTCGCTTGGCGAGGTTTGACTTCTGCAGCTCGTGAAATGTGATCAATGTTGTACGAGATCGCATGGCCGTCTAGCCATGTATACCCTACAGATTAGGACATGTAACTGTAAAGCACTTCTAACCACTATTCTCAGCCTGTGGCGCATCTGCCACTACAGTCGCAGTCGTCCAAATCACAGCTACTTCCGGTGTGAACGTCACGATGAGCGACTCAACCACCACTGACGCTGCTTCGCTTGTGAAGCTGACCACTGGCGACCACTCCTCAACTTTCCCTTCCGGCGCCTGCTCGCTGTAAGAGCTTGCCTGCCCTGATTCGGCCATGACTTGTTTACGAGCTGCCTCCACCGCATTCGCCCTGTCTGCAGCCATGTCTTTGCTCGCCTGTAACCCAGAGCGTGCTTGCTGTACGTCATTGACAGCGTTTTGCAGTTGCGTAGTATCCCAAAGTTCTTGCGGCGACATGACAATCTTTTTGAGAGCCTGCACAGCATTATCGATAAGACGCAGTTCTGGATCACTGCTCTCCTTGGTCCAGTGCGCTTCGAACAGGTCTCGTTCACCAGCGAAAACGGCCTCGTGAGCAGATGCGAGGAGAGACTTGTGCATATTGTCCACAGTGTCCTTAAGTGGTTGGCAAGCCTGCTCGAGGAGGCTCATCTCCTGTACGATCTCGTCGAGGTAGTCTTGCCAGTCTCCACGATTGGTCGTACCTAGGAGACCACCATGCGCTTGACGTATAGCAGTCTGCTGAGCATCAGTCAAGCGGTTGCCGAAGCTCGCGAGCCTCTGCTCTGTCTTTGTCAGCAGGTCTACTGCTTTCGCGCGTGTCTCGCTCGAGAGAAGTTGGTGTGAGCTTCGCTTCGATCTCTCCTCGTCCCAAAAGTCTCTCGCTTCTTGCGGGTAGCTTGTAAACTTGACAGGCATCTCCCAGTCATCCAGATGCTGCTCGGCTCTATCCAGCCAGTACGCCATGCGCTGCTCTCGGTCACCTACCCCCGCGAAGTGCACCAACAGATCACCTCGGCGAATCTGGAATGGATTGAGCGTCTCATTGTGCTCGCCTTGATAAGCATTGAACCATCGCTGTGGCACCTGAACAACGTGCTTCGCAAATTGCTTCTCGTGTAAAAGAGTATCCATGGCAGACTGGTCGCGAAACGTGAGAGAGGCATCGGGTCGATAGTAGCGGAAGGAGATGATGGCGGAGAAGAGGTCCACTGCCCACCTGCTGACCTTGACCGGGAAGATGCCATTGTTCAGTCCGTTCCAATCGTTGGTGTAGATGAGATGCACGTCGTTGAAGTCCGCTGGTGGCAGGAAGGTCTCGATTGGCACGTGCGGGTTGAGGATGATTGTGTCTGCGTCCACCCACAGGATCCAGTCGAGACGCTCGCTCTCTGGCTTGGCCAGCTCACGTAGCAACAGACTCAATATATAGGCCGGCTTGGACCAGACATCGTCCATCAGATTCTCTCTCAACACATGCAGCCGATATCCGTGCAGCTTGTCGTGAAGTTCATGTGTGCGTAGAGCTCGCTCCCACGCGTTGTTGCCATTGAATACGATCGTGCATTTGCCAATTCTTGTGCGAGCGCCCAGCTGTGTGGCATCCTCGTTCCCGTCAAGGACGTCTTCGCCACCGTGTACTTGCAGCTTACCAGCTGATGCAGTCTTGCTGGAGGACTTGCTAGAGCCTGTGACATTCTTCGCATATCCCACCGCTCCATAGCCAGCAGGTTTGGCCTTGTATGATGCCCAGTATTGGAGCTTGTCCGTGACTGCGTGGTGAAGCTCCGCCAAGGCACCCTTGACCGTCGGCTTCTTGACGATGGGCTCGGCAGGGTCAAGCTCCACGTCCTCGTCATCGAGCCCTATGATCCCAGCTGTTGTGATGTTGCTTTCTGCCCCATATCCCGAGGGATCATGTGGCACTGCGCCGGGAGTTCTGTCGTAAGGACTAGCTGGGTAATCGTTCGCCACCTCTTGGCCCGGACCCAGTAGCACCGTAGCGAACCAGCCGAGAACCAACACTCCCGCCACGATGGCATACGTTCGAATACGATTATTGGTAAGTATGCCAGGCTTCGGCGTATTTGATTGCAACCACAGTGGCAATGCACTTGGCGACGTAGGCGTCGAAGGAGAGGAGGGCGAAGTGTCGCGGTAGCTCGCATCCTGTCGGGAAGACCATATAGCCATGATTTGGTATCTACATGTTTCCTGATACAGGCCGTGAGCTGTGCGTGAGCACTTGTAACATACGCAGATGTTTACATGCCTCCAGCGCGCTCATGCAAGGCTCCGTTCATTTACGTGCTATACATGTGCGTGTCCGTACACATCACGACGGGCATTGACTTACTTGGAGCCTACCTTACCTGCGTCTATTGCTGTCGTCTCCATGATGTGCAAACAGCACACTGCGGCGAAACGCGCATATCAATGTTGAAAGACAAAGAACAGGGGACATGGAGGAAAGAGATAAGACAATTCAGTGCATCATCTTGATACATATAGCATGCCGTGACTAGCGCGACGGTTTCGCGTCACTGAGTGCATCCTGAACCCGACGACCATACACGAGCATCCTCTTCCTCCACCCTCGCACCGCCTTGCACCACCGTACAAGATGCCTAGCACACTACAAATCTTTCGGCTCAGCGGCCCTCGTCCAGACTGGCGCGGACCTAGATACTGTACTTCACCTTGTAGCAGTTCACAACCCCGACGTCCCCAGCTTCGCCATGATCATGATAGACACACGTTGATCCCATCTCCTGGCACTTGTCGAGCGCCACCTGCGACTTGCCGGACTTGAGCTTTCGCATCGTCATAGACAGGTCGAAGAAGAAGTCGGCCCAGTCGACGGACTTCTTCTGAGCTTCGAGAGTCTCCACAGTCCAGCGAGTGGCGGCGAGGTCGACGAGCAAGCGACGAAGGCCGGCGCCAGCTTTGCTATGTGCATAAATAATCTCATGCATCGACTTCGGAGTTGCCCACGCCAGCGGGCCAGGGTGGAGAGCCTTCTCGATGACAGCATCCGTCACAGCATCTTTGAACGCAGGTGCTTTAAGGTGGTCGCCCAGAGCATACGCTTTGGCCAGCCGACCCCACTCCTTGTCCTCCTCGACCTCGTCCTTGTCGAAGTCGCCGATCTTGCCGCTGTAGATGTGGCGACCGTAGATGAAATTGTGGAAGATGCGGAAGTGTTCTGCCTCGTGCTCAGGCAAGCAAACGACGCGGTCTTTGGTTTCAGCCCCGCCAGACTTGAAGTGGTCGTCGATGAGGTCGGAGTGGGAGCGAGCCAAGGCGTCGTGGATGACGAAGGTGGTCGTGTCGTGATCGGGGCCCACGATGACCGTGACAATGTCGTTGCCGTAGCTGATGCTTTCCGTCAGGATTTAATAATGCGTCTGCGCCTATCACGGAACTTACTCGGGAGCCTCGTCCACCTTTCGCAGGATGCTCGGCAGCTTGGGCTCGGGTGCATTGGGTGAAGAGGTAATCGACGGGGACTAGACCACATCTGCTTTCGCACGAGAAGCCAGAGCTGGTATCGAACCGCCGAATGCGGGAAAAGTGCCGCGACCAAAGAGCAGTGTCGTGTCCGCAGCTTTCGAAGTCGAAATGTTCAAGCCGGCGGAGTTGGTAGTGCTGCTCGTAGTAGGCTGAGCAAACAACGAGGCACCATTTGGTGTGGACACGGACTGACCTGCCGATGTGGCGGTGGTCTCCTTGGTGCCGAAGTCGAAGTTCAGAGCAGGAGATGAGGAGCCACCCTTGCCGGACCACTTGTTCGATGTGTTGCCCATCGACATGATGAGCTTGAGAGCGAGAGTTTGAAAATGTAGTGCGATGTGTTTGTCTATGTTTACTAAAGCCAAGGCCAAGTTGCGTTTATATACACATCGGAAGTGCCGCGCACGGTGGGTCGGACCGCGAGCTGTGATTCAGGCTTTCGCGTGAGTGAATGCTTCCATATCCTGCACAACGCTTGGCGGTGTGTTCTTCATTCACATTCGCCGCTGCAGCGTTTCCCGCAAAGTCTTCCTCTAGTACGACTGCGACATGCCCTGCTTGAGCGTGACCTCGTAAGAAACATTGTCGATCAACACGGCATCAACAGCCTGCTGCAGACCATCCGTGGCAAATTCAACCTTGTCTAAGTTTGCAAAGTCCGAGCCGAACTCGGCCTTGTCCATGGTGGCAGTGACAGCTTGACCGAGGAGCCCACCAGTCTTGAACACTATGTCCTGAGAAGCGACTTGCTCCTCGTTGCGGTATCCAGTGACGGTGACGGTGCAGTCGTTTGCGACGGAGGCGGCGGTCTCGACGTTGGTGATGACGCAGCCGAAGTAGAGCTCCTTGAGTCTGAAGGATTCGGCGATGGAGTCATCGTAGTCGGCGTAGATCTGGTATCCTGTCAGTGACTGCACTCATCAATTCCAGCATGGAAGGTATGCTTACGGATGGAACACCCTCAGTGGCTTGGAAGATTGCGTCGTAGGTGACGACGTTGGGTGCCGACTGTGGCTTGACACCGGTAAGACCAGTGCCGACGTTGATAACGTTCAAGTTGAAGAACAGGTCGTCGCTATGGTTGACAAGTCAGCCTGAAGCACCTATGGGATTGTGCACGTGATCGGGATATACTTACTATACACCAAGAGGGGTGACTGGACGGACAGGCAGGCTGCCTACGAGGCCAGCTTCCACGTTATCGAACTTGGCGGTGTAGGACACGACCTCAGCGCCATTCTGCGCTGGCCAGGAGCCAGATGGCTTATCGTTGCCAGCCACTGGAAGGGCGGCGGCGGAGGCGACGAGGCCGAATGTTGCGAGGGCAAGTTGGGTGTACATTATATTGTAGTTGGGAACGTGTGACTGAACGAGTGTGGTGAAAGATTGTTAAGTGTAAGAACGTCTGTTGAGCTTGATGGGACGAAGGACGAGAACAGAGGGATGCGATCAACCTATATGTATTCGACGGTGTGGTCCGACTTGCGTCACATATGGCTGAATATAAATCTCCGTTGCGGACGACGTCCTCGCGGGTGGATACTGCCCGTTGGTCTGACATGCGGCTTTGCGGCAAAAGATAGACATGCAGTGCTAAAGAATCGAACAGAAGATGATGAGCATCAGAAATCTCGCTGCATCGGTATAGCACACAGAGCCGCCTAAGCGGTCGACCACCGTTGCCCAGCGTGGTAGTCAGACATGTTGCCGTGCAAGTGCTGGATGAGGACTGATGAGGTGGAGAAGGAGAAAGGAGGATGTGAAAGAGTTGAGCATGGTGGATCGATCTGCGGGCCCGTGCCTGCGCCGGTCTTCCGCCCGCCGCTATACGACCTGAGAAAAGAACGACATGTCGATCAGGATCAATTCATCACGGACAATAGTGGTTTGGGTAAACGCATTCTGAGGATCTGAACAACCCGTTAGGCTATCTGATATCCTTCACGAGTCATGATGCGAACGAATGCCGAATTGCAGTCTTGACCACGTTCCCACGCGAGCTGACCGTGGCCTTCATCTCGACCACATCAATCACACGAGTTCCGCGATGGACACGCAGCGATTCTGCTGGATATCCATACGCAAGTCCGTCGTTCGATATCAACAGCCGCTGAAGTATGGTTATGAAGGATGTCAGTAGGAGGCATGTATCATCACATTCCAGTTGTAAATAGTGCAGGACACCAAAACATTCCACCAAACTTCCTGCGACAATGACGCTGTTCCTTCCCCTTCCTGTCCAATGGGCCACCTCCAGGACTACTGACGAATACCAGCATGGTTGACGGTCGCCACAGCACGCGAAGAGCCGTGAAAGAGGGCCAGGCTTCGCTCGTCAGCAAAGCAGACGCCGATGCAGCCGCGTCTCCGCCACGGATCAAGAACGCTAAATCGAGACAGTCGAGGAAGGTGAGCACGGCGGCTGGAGTCAGTAAGCCCACGAAACAGAACCGAAAAGTGTCTGTGGTGGCGAAGAGGATTGCGAATGCTAGTCAAGTCGACGAGCCGCCTCTGCCGACTACGAATGTCTGCGCGACATGGAGTCATGGACCGGATGGTGATTTGTCTATCAGCAATTGGACGGCTATAGTATTGGAGAACGAAGATACTCAACCTGAGTATGAACCCACTTCAGCGTATACCGGTCCTGCTGCTCCGGTGCGTGAACACCTGTCCGCCGAAGAAGTCGAACGCATACGTGCGAGGGTCAAGGATGAGCTCGCCGTAGACCGCATCAGCCCTGTCCGCCACGACTTTACCCAAAAGCAATCCAACAGCTCACTCGTGCTGCCAAAGCCTGTACATCCAGATCCCCCTCGACCTGGTATTGCCCCTGTATCGCCGTACTTGAGGGCCATCGGAAGGACACCTTCGCCTCAGCCGCCCCCACGGCCCATCAACATACCGACGGTGCCACCACTTAGCCGGGAGGAAATCTTCCAACCGCTAGATGCTCCTGTACCACCGCCGAATACCGCCAGACAGGACTACACGAATACAGATCAAGATGACTTCGCCAGCCTCTTCGAAGAAGAACATGTAAGCTCTCGTCCCACTACGACAGCAGCGCAAGCTCATTGCACGGCACCTCAGCCCTCGCAACCTTCCGCACGACCTTCACTAGCATTGCCAAAGCTGTCACCACAGCCTGAGATCAGCGGCTACGCACCTTCCATCCTGGGCGTGAGCAAACCACACATCCATTCCAATCTCCCCGGCCTCGGCACAAATATCCCCTCACCAAGCTGGAATTTCAACTCTCTAAACTCGTCGACAGGTAAGACCGAGAGGGAGGACTCGCCAACCGACCCAGCCTTCATCCCGACAACTTTTGGGGACGACAACCAGGCCACAGAAGACTCAGCAGAACCCGAAGACGACCGCTCGCATATCGCGATCGACGGCCATAGCGAGCGGACATCTACGACTCCCTACGATCATAACGATACTGATGACACAGACCACCACGGTAGCCTCCCGGCCGCACAGCTTAGCCCGACAATAGTAGAAGACATTGCCGCAAGCATCACCAGACCCGGTCCCGAGCCATCCGGCTCCCTCCGCAGCACAGAACCCAAGAGCGATAACGACGAGTTCCGCGAGCGAGACGAAGGCGGAAGCCCGATCATCTATTCTCCCTCCGACGAGGACGAGATGAATGATGACGACCGCACCGCAGGCCCTTCCACAAGCACGACGACCGGAACAACGGCAACAAACACAGCGCCCCCCGGTCCACGAATCGACCCCAGCACCCTCACAGGCCTGCAGGCAGTGAACTACGAGTACAGGCAGAAAGATGAAGATGGAAACACGATTATCGATTCCGACGGCGGAAATGTAGGTGAGAATATGGATTTCGAGGAGGCGAGGGTGAGGGCGAGGGCGAGGGCGAGGGCGAGGGCGAGGGCGAGCGGGAGGGTTTGTGGGGTTGGTGGTGAGCAGGGTGGTGGATGCACGACTGGACGAGGTGATTGTCCGAATGGACGATCTGACCTGCAGGAGGAGTGGTTCGGTGGGGTGGAGGGGAGGGGAGATGGGGATTGAATACTGATGCAGTTCTTCACGGTCTCGTCTATGGGCGTGGGGAGGATGTGTGCAAGTGCACGATGGGTGGAAAAGGACCACATACACGCGATAACGCTAGACCCTCTAATAATGGCTCTTATCTATCCCCTCCTCCCTCTATCCAACATCCGCAAACAATACCCGCACGTCTCTCCACAGCCCTCCGGAGCAAAAGGAGTCCTGTCACGAGTTGAGGTCACGAAGACCACGACCGCCCATCACTGGCAAACAGGCTCCCCATTGACATCGCTCGAAAGCCTGCTCCCGATCTTCGTGATCCAGCATACAAGGTCGTCTCAGCACGGCTACGTAGCGAAATGTGTTGTAGCTCCTCCCCTTCTATCACAACATCGACGGCTTGAATCCAGCTCGCACGTCTAGTCATCGAACTTGATACCCTTGGGCGTGAAATCGATTGCTCCGCCACGGTAAGCACCTAATCATTATATTCACATTAGCCGACTGCACAATCACGTTTGAAGAGTTTATTTCAAGACCCACCCCTCTTCTTCTTATTCTTCTCCTTCGTAAACCCCTTCCCCTTCGTGACGATCAAATCCCTATGCGCCCGATCCGCATAATCATAAGAGACATACTCGTTGCTCGAAAATTTTGGATCGACAAAGGTGTCCTTCGGGATCCGGGAGAAGGGGACGTTTGACTTCTTCAACTTTGCCACGTTCTCGGCTGTGGCGGGGACGGTGGTCGTGGGTGGTGCGCTGGTTGTGGTTGAGGGGGGCATGCGGCGGAGGCGGTCGGGATGGATTCCGGACGTCTCGTCTGCGGAGGTGGAGGCGGGTGTTGAGATGGAGGGGTCGAGGGTGGAGAGGGCGGAGGTGGGGACTACCAGGTCTTCTTTTATGGGCGAGTTGGGCGGGAGGGTGACGGAGGATGCGGCTGAGTCGTTTTCGGCCGCGGGTTGGATGGTTGGTTTGGCCTTTTTTGATTTCTTGGTCTCCTTCTTTGGCTTGACTTCTTCTGGTGCTGGCTTCTTCTCGGGTGATGCTGCTTTCTTTGCTTTCTTCTTTGGTGGTGGCGGGCTGTCGCTATCGCTGTCGCTGCCGCTGCTGCTGCTGCTGCTGCTGCTGGCAACGGTGCCATCTGACTCGGCGGATGAGGAGCTGGAGCCGCTGCTTGAGTCAGAGTCGCTGTCGCTGTCGCTGTCGGAGCTGGAGGTCCCGGAGCTAGAATCCGAGGACGAGTCCATAACCACATCCACGCCTCCCGCCGCGCCCGAATCCGAGCTCAAGTCATCACTGCTGTCATCGTCGCTGCTGTCGTCCTTGGCTTCGGTCTTCGTACGCTTGGCTGGCGGTGCGGCCTCGTCATCTGAAGAGTCGTCGCTGCTGTCACTGCTGCTGTTGTCGCTCGATGATTCGTCGCTTGACGAGTCGGGCGTGACTTCCCTCTTCCGCTTCGTGCCTGCCGGCGCAACCTTCTTCTCCTCCTCATCTGAGCTGGCGTTACTCGTGCTTTCCGCCTCGTCGTCCACCACACCCGCCTTCTTGCCTTCCGTCACATCCTCCGAGTCGCTACCATCGCTCGAGTCCTCACTACTGCTCTCCGCCTCTTTCGTCGCCTTCTTGCCCTCCTTCCTGCTTTCCTTCTTCGGCGCAGTTCCTACTTGCGCAGTCGGGAAAGCGCCCTTCTGCTCCTTCCACAACTGCCACATGCTCTCTAGCGTCGCATTCCCCTCCCATGACGTCGCACTCACGCCGTCCACGTTGTGCTCGCGTGCCTCGGCCAGTAGGGCATCGAGTGTGGATCGGTAGTTGGCATCGTCGAGATACTGCGCCAGTTGGGTGAGGAGGTCGCGCACAGGTGGCGATTGCGCCTTCGTGCGTGCCATGGTTGTGATGGTTGTGATGGTGCCCCGGGGGAGAGAGAAACTGTTGCTGTCAATCTCGTGCGACCCGTCTCTTCACTTCGACTTTCACGACTTGTGGAGAAATTTTGAGCAGGAATGTCTGTGCGTAGATTGATCAAGATCCGACATCTTATCTGATGGGCCTTGGCAGGGGCAACGTAGCACCCGACTTGCCTTCACTTGTACATGACCTCGCACTGTCTGTATCGGTGATCCCACGTCTCCACTCATGAGCATGAGTATTCTAAGCCGCGAGTGAATGCACAATACACTCTCCACAGACACGATCTTCATCCCTTGCCTCGTGCTCAAGCGAGTCAGGCGGCACAGATCTGTGAGGATCTGCGTCGGTACTGCCATGGATGCGCCTGGATCGTTACGATGTTTGGGTACGTCGTCCTTCCGTAGGAGGCGAACTCCCAACGCCACCTGCTCGGGACTACTCAGGAAGCATTCTGCATATCCGGTAATAGACATTGGCAGCAGGCTCTCTCGGACTTCCGAATGCATGTATGCGGACAGTACAGCACGCTGTAGGCATGTCGTGCTCAAGGGCGAGTTCGTTCGATGGCTTGCGCCCGCCAGATCTATGGGAACTGCTAGACCTGCGGATGGTGTTGCGATCAAGCCTTCCACGTGTGCCAGGGCCTGGTCGCTTACTACGATGTCTTGACGATTTGAGGGGCAGAGGATACCAATGCTGCGATCAAGGACCACAGCGAGACTTTTACCACGGGGCGTGGACGGAAAGCTATGCAGTCTGCAGAAGCTCAGCAGTTTGGAAGGCCTGTGGGAGTACGCCAAGCGTTTCTTTCCAAACTGTGGCGACCATGCACAGAAGACGAGGCTTGAGAGGTCCAAAGCCAGCGTCGTCGAACCTCAGACATATCTTGCTTTCGCCTGACAGGCCCTGCAGCCTGTTCCTCAAACGGCATTGCAGAGCTTTCTGGTCGGCTGATATAGTCAGACAGCGGTACGTGGCATGTTTTTGGTACAGCTGCCAACTCAGGCTCAGCGCGCACTAGAACGACAGCAACCCAATATGTACCAAAAGATGGTGGTCTGGTCCTTAGCGACCAATTGAACTTCATGCCCATCGCTATCAGAGCTGAAGACACGACGGATCCGCTCGCCTTGTAATCTCTGTGCCACAGCGCTTCGCGCACAGGTAGGACGGTGCCATTGATTATACATACTAACCAGGATGACATGAAGGAAGCTACAAAGAACGCCTCCCACAACGTGTCCTTCACACGTGTCAGGTGTGACCATGTACATTCCCACGACACGAAGTCCTGTGCCACCTCTCCTCACATGGCCTGACACCTGCAGGTATTCATATGGCGGGTCGATGGAGCTGCCCTTGCAGAACCGTTTCTGACGTTTTCGTCCTGCATTGGCATAATCTCCACATGCAGGTGCTGTGGACATGAGTTCGACTTCACCTCTTCTTCGACTCGCTGTGTGCAATTACACTCATCGACGATCGGCATGAAGGGAAGCTTCAAACATGGCGACAATACTGCAGCGACGCCAGGCGGCACTCTTTCCCATCATGCGTGCAGATGGACTCCGATACCGCCGGCTTGCTCTGTGGACCAGGCGTGGCCATGGTACTACTTAGACCCACCACGTGAGGTTCATAGTAATCTGGTACCGACCCACCAGATTGCATACTCTAGACTCATCAGCAGGTCAATACTGGTTCAAACGGCCGGAAGTGCCCTCGGACTCATGCATCAAACATGTGCTCAGCATCCACATTGACCAGAACTGGTCCTCATCTGTTACTCTCAGCGACAGGCGAACCACGCCCAGACTTGATAATGACCGAAGAGGAAAATGCAGTTGGTTTCAGCTGGAGATGAAGAGGAGAGCTTCGAAGCTAGCCGGATGTATAAGTAAGTCCACCTCTCCTTCGTGTACCTCTTCACCATCATCACAATCCTCCAGTCACACACCCAAACCCCACCATAATCAACATGCATCTCATCATCTCCACCTTCGCCATCTCGGCCCTCACCCTCCTCCCCTGGACAGCCCTCGCCAACCCAACCCCAGTCAGCCAATGCATCCCCACCCCCTCCGCCTCCGCCCTCGCCACCGACTTCGGCAAGCTCATCTCAGCCTACAGCGACAAACTCGCCAACGCCACCCTCGCCCCCAACTTCCAAGATTACTCCGAGTCCGTCAACACTCTCATCGACAACGGCGGCAGCACCCCCAAGAACCTCCTCTCCGCCACCTTCACCTCCCGGTCCGATTTCGAGGTGGCGTCAGCCGGCCAGCCTGCTGCACCGTTCGAGATCAAGGATCTGTGGATCGCGTGCGATGTTTTGATTATTCGGTGGTTGTCGGCGCAGAGTCCGTTGCCGGTTGTCGGGATTTCGGTGGCGCATGTGGTTTTTAATCGGCCGAGTTGGCAGATTGACGAGGTGTGGGCGGAGTTTGATAGTGCGGCTTGGTTGAAGAATTTGGGGTTTACTATTACGGCGCCGAAAAGGAGGAGGGAGGTTGTGTTTGAGGGCTGATGGGGAGCGTCATCGAGTGGCGGTGGTAAGAAGGGGCCTGAGACTGTTTCGATGTCGTCTTCTATGTTTACCTCTGTCGCTTTGCCGTAAAGTGGTCGATATCAGGATAGCACGTCATGTTGTCACGCATCTACAGAAGTCAAGGAACGGTCTCAGCGATGTACTGGTAATCCCAGGCATAATGCCATATGTGTTAGCCATACTCTCCGTGAAGCAATGACAGTCGATCGAAGGATTTCTGTGACGGCATGGGAGGGAGGGCTCAGTCCTAGTCCGAGATCTCCGCAGCTCGGCCGAGGTAGCTTAGACGATCAGAGTGCTAGCGTGGGACCTCGTTCACTCCTGCCTCCACTTCACCAGCTTCTCACCACCTTATACACCGCTCGTGTATATAGTCGAGATTGCCACGCTCACCATGGGGGCTACAGCATCGTGTTGGCGCAGCTTCTCCGATCCAAGGCTCGTGGACACATCAGTTGCACTTCATCAGCCGCCTTGAGCACGGGACCACCAAGGATTGCACAAACGCCAGCATCAGATCATCCATGGACGACGAATCAAGAGTAAAAGATCCAGCACGCAAGCATGCGCTTCCTCATCCTCGGAGCCAACGGCCGTACCGGTCAACTCGTCACAACGAAAGCTCTGGAGGGCAAGCATACGGTCACAGCACTGGTCCGCCGCGCATCCAGCATGACACCCACTCAAGGACTGACCATAGTAGCGGGAACACCAGTCGAGGCCGAGGGCATCGAAGCCGCCTTCAACTCATCAGCAGGAAAGCCAGATGCAGTGATCTTCACCCTCGCCTCCTCCCGTGCAAGCGACTCGCCTTTCGCTAAACCCATTACGCCCGCATTCTTCATGCGCGACTCCATGCGTCTCGTCTTGTCCGCCATGAACAAGCACGGTGTGCATAATCTCGTCCTGATGTCCGCTTTTGGTGCTGGAGACAGTTTCGTCCAACTCGCGTGGCCGCTGAGGTTGTTGTTCCGATACAGCAATATGAGCTATCAGTATGAGGACCACGATGCCATGGACTTGGAAGTCAGGGCTAGTAGGGATATTGCATGGACGATTGTCAGGCCTGTGATGCTCAAGGAGGGTGCGGGGATGGCGGTGAGGGGGTTTGGAGAGGTGGGCGTGGGAGCGGGTATGTTTGCGAGTATCACCAGGGAGAGTGTTGCACAGTATCTTGTTACTGTGGCTGAGGATAGTGAAGGTGGCAAGACGATCGTAATCGCTAATTAAAGGACGGCTTTGCTTGCAACACATTTCGGATCTTGAAGAGTCACCGCCGCTCACAGGCCCAAGATGGCTATCGTGACTGCACCACACACCGTATCGCGGGCAGTCCCTGACAGTGAAGGTGAAGCTTGGGGAAGCTACCTGGATCATCTCCGGTAGTCACTATACTGCTTTCCTTACTCCATGATCGCACCGCATAAGTAGCCACATCTCCCGGCATTACTCCTCGGCTTCTTTTTATCATACCACTTCTCATCACCGACATCGTAGTTGACAAAATCCAACACAATCATCCTCACTCTAAGAAAATTAACCGCTCCGATCATATCATGTCGCATCAAGGCGGCTCCTATTACCAACAGCCACGATCGGGCCAACAGACGGGCTCCCAATATGGCCAGGGACAGCAGCAAACGCAGACTTCAAGCCCGAACAGTGTTTCGGAAAACCAAGAGACAAGCACTACCACCACGACAACAACCAATTCATATCTGACCGGCTACCAACAACAAGCTGCACAGGCTCAGGCTCAGGCCCAAGCACGGCCACCAAGCTACCCTCAACAAATCACCCAGGGATACCAGCCTCAATACCAGCACCAGGTAGCACAGGCACCGCAGTATTCGCCTAATCCACCCCAGCAGGTTTTATACCAGCAACAGCCACTACAGTATGCACAACAAGCACAGTACTGTAATTTCCGACAGATGCCGGGCCCGGTGCCGCAACTACCACCACCAAAACCGAAGGCCAGTTATGACCATCTCAAGACCAAGGCGCCTCGTCCGGAAGCTAAGGCTAAGCCATCGATCAACACAACAGTAACCACGACAAAGAAGAAAGAAGCCGTGCAGGCACAAAGCGGTACAGTACAAGGTGGCAAAACACAGAGTGGTAAGACACAGGGTGGAACAGCCCAAGTAGCGGCCGAGAAACGAGGCGAAGGACAGCTATTCCAGCAACGTGTAGTGGACATGCTCAGCAGCCTCGGGGTATGTCCTGCGGGCTTCCAATGGTTCTCCACACCCAAAGGCTGGCTGTGTGGGGGCGGTTCGCACGGCATCAAGCATGCGGAAATCGATCAATGGGCCAGTGACCCTTACTATCAGCCGAAGTGGATCTGGGTGAATCACTTTGACCTCTTCGAGACCAATGCGCAAGGCTATCCAGTGTCGAGGTTATGGTGTCCGCCCGATCCCAGCGTGGTGGGCGGAAACAGGATTATGCATCTCAAGCATGATATGCACATACAGCATATGATTGAGATGGGACGAGGGATGAAGAAGGAAAATCAGTGCGCGTGTGCGAAGGCCGCGGGCATGTTGACTAAGGATCAGGAGATCGCTTTGACTGCTCAGATGACCCAGGGCATGGGCGGGATGAATGGCTTTAGGGAAGGTGGATCCGGTGGGCTCGCGGCTGCGGCATACAGTGCTGGGCAGGCGGCAGCGCGAGGCATGCTTGGCGGAGGTTATGGCGGACACGGCTTTTGATTGAGATAGGCCAAACGAGGATCTTGCCTGCAATGGACGAGAGCAGAATGCTCGCGAGCTTGCCGGTATCATACTGATTGTGACCATGGTGGTGACTCAATTGTAGTATATGTATGCGTACCAAGCATATGCTGTGTACACGGGTCTCCAAGGGGTACTTCTTGCCAAGTACACCCTCCGAAGCAACGCTCAAATCATGGGAAGTAATCCTGTGGGTATCTTCAAGAATGGGACATAAAACAGCGCAGGCATCATGAACATCCCCACCTCCAATATAATGTGTAGCTGGTACCTATCTCCACAGGCGACGCGCGAGGCTCCATAACTTCGCCAATACCTGCCGCAAGCGAAGCAACAGAAGATTGAGCACGTCCTAGGTGTCGAGTTGTGGCTTGTGAGCGAGCCAGTGTGGGTGATCCTCGTGATCTCCGGTGACAGCACGCAGCTCCGGACACGATCCCAGGCTGTGTTTGTGTAACTTACACGACGTGCAGTTCCCGACCTGAGCGTTGAATCGAACCGACCAAGTATGCTCCCCTGTACCGCATGGCGCCGCGTATCCGAACCACTCGAAGTCGACCGGGCTATCAAGAAGGACGACGATGTGATGCGACCCTCTCGCCTTATTAGTGGCAGTTGAGGGTGCCTGCATGACGTGAATCCGATGAGGCCGAAGACCAGCGAGAAGGACTGAGGTCAGGCCGGCCAGCGAAACATTAGGGGGTATGCTCTTGCATATAAAAGCTTGGGTCGTCTTTGGTGTGTATGGCACAAGTGGGATCTGGACGGCGCAGATCTGGACCACACGATTGACGATGGAGATGAACTCGGACGCATTGGAAAGCCGGACGGTCCAATCGGAGTGGCCTACACGTGTGATCTTGGGCCCGACGGACGGTCCGACAGCGTTGGTGATCGCGGCCTTGATGTCTGCGAATGGAGCGTTGACCAGAACGGAGTGTGCCCTCCTGCTAAGGGTGTCGGGCGTGAGGATGTAGTCGCAGCCACTCACAGACGGGTAGCGGTGGATTTTCCAGCTTTTCGGCGGGGTGTCCGCACTGCTAGAGCCGTCCTCGCCATGTTCGTGATCGTATGCTTCGCCCCATGGTGGCGTTTTGTCAAGCATCTCGTAACCGACAGACTGGTCAGAAGCATCATTACCCGGATCTCGTATGGCTGATCTCCCCTCGACAATGTCGACTTCGTCATCACTGCTGCTTTCACTCTCAGCCTCAACCTCATCTGCGACGACCTCCTCCTCCAGGACCTCATCGTCCCTTCCAGCTCCCTGCTCCCGGTAGCGATAGCCCACATCATCAAGAGTTGCTGGCTGTGCGTCTACACCGCTATCCCGCAGTCGGTAATCTCCAGCAGCATCCACATCAGAGTCAACATCCAGCCGCAGGAGGGGTATGACCTTCAGCTCGAAATGGGCGTTAGCAACTTCCTGCTTGATCCAGGTCGGCTGGCCTGATGCACTAACACCCACGAGATCGCCGAGTGCCTGGCCCACACTTTCGACCATACGCTTGGCCAGGCCAACAATGAACAATGATCTCGCGTCTGACAACCCGGAGTTGGCCACTGGACTCCACTTCTTGTGTGAGGGCCCGTTGCATGATTCGAGCCAGAGGTTGACGAATCTGCTGCTTCGGAAATTCTTCGCTACATAGAGAGTCGAGGATCTGATTCAGGTTGCGCTGATGTAGAGGATGGTCCTTGGGATCCAACAGGAGGTGGTCAAGGGCCAGATCGGCGGCGCATGTGTTGATCCGGTGGACATCACTATCAACTCGCTGGCGTACGTTGCGGGTCTCATAGATACCCTCCGCAGCACGCTTACGAGGCTGTGCTGCTGGTTCTGCCATGTTATTGTTCTCAAAGTGTTGTGTCCCTAAATGTGATAGATTGCCCCAGAGGAGAGTCAGAAGGCTGATCGAAGAGACGTCCCCAGCTTGAGGAATGTGATTGTCAACCAATTCATCCAAACCCGCGAGAACGATGAACCGTTACCCACAATGGAGTCAATGCTACTCGCACATGAACTCACACCAGCAACTTCCAAGCTGTGTAGATACCTTGCCGAAGAAGCTGCCTGGTTCTGGACAGACAAACAAGCCCAGGACTCTCACGAGCTCGAGGGCTTGCCCAACGACTTCCTGACCAAGGCGGACATCCTTGAAGCTGGGATGGCTACATGGACCAGAACTTACACCAGCGCTGTAGACTGAATCGGCACCTTGGTCGTCAGTGCATCGGCCACTCCGTTCTGCTCTCTCGGCATGCTGCAGCAAGTTAGCTCCGTGCCACGCTCAGCCTGATCTTGGCTCACTCCGGGAAAAGCTCCTACAGATCACGACTCTCCACTGCCTTATTCCAAGCATCACGTCAGCCTTACACTGTCCAGCTGCCGATAAGTTCGGCGATATCCAGCACGATATGTTTGGTGTCTGTAGCGATGGTAGTCTTCCCGTAGCTTCACAACTTTGGCGACAAGTCTGAAGCGCTCCTGCGCTCCAATGGCCACTCGAAGGCCGACGGGACGGACCGTGTTCATTACGGTGACTCCGGCTGCTGCATGGGACTGTCAGATTGCCTAGGTGGACAGTGACGCTGTGTCCTCACAAGTGATACACCTCGGTCTCTGTGCGGGAGCCCAACGCACCTGCCACGAAACAGCCGATCGTGCCTTCCTGCCGTGATGTGGGGTCGCGTCGCGCGTGACTCGTTTGCCTGACTTCATTCAAACTTCTCTTCATTTCAATATCATGATCGACCTTCTTCGACGCGAACGACACTCCGTGAGCGATACCATCATCGCCGCCTCATACGTCGCAGCCAAAACAGCGCGCAATCATCCCCTATGCTACACGTGATGCCGATCAACCCCAGTCACGCTCCAATGGAGATGGGAGTGACCCCTACCACGACTACGACGGTGGATGGCCGTGGACAGCTGGAGCGGTGTACGATTATACGAGCAGGAAACGGGTCGACTACAACGATGACGACTGCAGTGATGGTGAGTGCCTAGACACAAGTTACAGGGTGCAGTACTACGAGAGGCTCTATTGGCGGCATATCAACAATGCTTATCTGATCCGTATCGGCCGGGAGGTCAACGTCAGTGTTCTTCCCGGCTTGCGGCTTCATGAAACCGAGCTGGGGATCAGCTTCCAGTGGCCGGGGATGCTGGCAGAGTTATTTCGGAAGAGTGGCGTGGTACTGCAACGACTTATGATGACGATGCCCGCACTTCCCACGAATTCCTGCCCCCAGCGCTGTCAGGGACGTCTCGGCCTGGGCAACACAGATGCTTGAACATGAGGAACGCACCAGAGAGGTAGTACGTGAAGAACGGATCGATCGACCAGTCAAAACTGGAGACCGCCCGTGTTGCAAGCTAGACGATGATGCTGGCTGCGGCTATCCTGATCACTACGGTAATCAAGAGATACTGGCAGACTGTCGTCGATATCGGACGTAGGACTAAAGCAATTCGCCATTAAAGCCGAGCCGATACTTGGACATGCGGCCCACAATATGGCGCACTGTTACACGACTGATCTCCCCGTCGGAATGTGCAAACATACGCACGACTGCGCGCTCGTTTTATGCCAGACTTCGCAAAAAGTGACGATTCGATATAGTCGTTCGGACTATTGGAAGACTCTGTTGCTAGCCACCGCTCGTCGTTTATTTAAGTGGAACATGCGCAACGCAAAGGTGCGAACACGAGCAATCTTATGTCCTGCGGGTTTGGCAGGATGCTTGTCTGGCTGGCTTTGTGACTTCAGCTCTGCGTTAGGGTATTGTGTCTGATCGCCCACGCTCAAAGCCTTCAGCTGGTCTTGTATGTATTCAATATCTGCTTTATGATCCCCTTCAGCACATTGGTAGCCCTGTAACGCTCGCTGATAAATGTCTTTGGCCTTACGTGACCGACGCTGGTCGAAATAAAGGTTTCCGAGGTTGTAGGCAGTGTCAAGGGTCGACGTATGCTTCGGGCCCCACGCCTCCTCCTTGCCTTGTAGCGCCCGGAGGTACATCTCCTCCGCCTCCCGCATCTTGCCTTGCTTACAATAGAGGATGCCGAGGTTGTTAACGGTGTCGAGGGTCGACGTGTGCTTCGGGCCCTGTGCCTCCTCGAAGCCTTGCAGCGCCCGGAGGTACATCTCCTCCGCCTCCCGCATCTTGCCTTGCTTCTGATAGAGGAGGCCGAGGTTGTTAACGGTATCGAGGGTCGACGTATGCTTCGGGCCCCAA